AAGCAGACATTGTTGATTGTGCAATTTCTAGGCAGTATAATCACAGCGAACACAGTAACAAAAGGACTTGTCTAATTTATGGTAAGGCTGACACACCTATTTTGTATTATCGTGTGACCCATGACACCTTGTTTGGACCCCAGAGAAGAACTGGTCAGTAATTCTTATAATCCCTGTATTTATACAGGGGGAACTGCTTTAGGATGATTATGAACACAGCCCCTTCCTTATGAACACAGCCCCTTCCTTATGAACACAGCCCCTTCCTTATGAACACAGCCCCTTCCTTATGAACACAGACCATGTTTTAGTAAGAGAACCTCCTCCTATGGACTACCTTGCAGAAGAAGATTTGGTACCAGCTTAAAAGCTTGGAGTTCTTCAGCATTCACAGGTATATAGCCAAATAGTTCCTATCCTGCTGTATGGTTGGAATGAACATATGAGCTTCTACAACCTTTTTTTTTTTTTTTAATATATTAAAAAAATGCTTATGAAGCACAGAGGAAGTAAACAGTCTGACTCGTCTTGTAGGTGTCTAAGCAATTTAACCTGGAAACGGGCAGTGCGCCAGTATCTCAAGACTGTTGTGAGTAGGTCACAGGGAAGGGTGTTCACCTTCTATTAAGTTCTTCATCCTTCCTGCATTACGTAAGGGGTTACCACGTTATTCCCGGCGATACTGTCACTGTTAGGAGCTGGATTCCATGTGGCAGTATTGCGGGGAGGGTGCAGGACAGGTTCATGTGGCAAAGGCAGAAAAATCTTGTCTGTGAGCCTAAGACCTAGGGGTGTTTGAAAATGTTTCTTGCTCTGCTCCCTGGCAGGCCTGCGTAAATGAGACTTTGCAGGCACTGACCAGGCAACAGTCCGTTAGTGTTCTCTCAAACTCAGGGGTCATACTAAAATGAGTTTTGTATTATAAAATTAAAGCATTTACAGTAGCTACTATACATTAAGAAATAAAAAGGCAGTAGGAGTTGAGATAACCGATTTTAAAATCAAGGCATATGAAGTAGCTGAAATAAAGAAATGAAAGGGCAATAAGAGCAGAGATAGCTAACTGATTTGGACAAGAGATCTGGACATTTTCTTAGTTTGGAACTTCTATAAACAAGGGTTGTTCCTGCTAAACAAAGAATGATCTGAACTCTCCCAAACTACACTCCAGACACTGCCCTCATGGCTATGATTTTATGATTTATTAGAATGTATGCCTCTGAGCTGTAAATGAGCCTTCCCTCCTTGCTATGAAGAATTACAGCTGATTTCAAGAACTGAATGGAACTGAACTATCATTCTTCCTATCACAGGGCTTTTCACATTTGCAGTCTTTTAATTGTTCAACTTAATGAGTCATTCCAGTTCAGGGCACATACTTTGCTCTCTATATAAGAAACAGTAATTTAAGTTATATGCATGGCAGACTCATTCTTTAACCCTGAGGTTAAGCCATCAGTCTGCAGTAGCAACACCGACATGCAGAAAACAAGAGCAATAAGATAGATGACTTATCTCCGTCATACATGTCAAACATTCAGCCTTGTCCACTCTTCACATTGTCATATTAGCAAACTGATTCTTGCAAACATATGTCTACACAACAACTCAACCTATATTAACTTTCTAGTACCTTAATGGCAAATAGTAACCTACATTTCTGTGACCATCAACAAACCAATTCAAACTTCAAGGAAAATATGCATTATCCACGCCTGTATATGAAAGCTCTATATTTGTAAAAAAGTTCTTTCTTCTAGTTCTTGAACTGAAAGCTCTTTATAACATATATTTTACCTCATATTTCTAGGATGCTTAGCACAGAAAGACACTGCCCGTGCTTGGGACATTTGGCTCTAACTTCTCACTGTTTCTGTGGTTGCAGGTGCGTGCTGAGGACAGTAAGGCCCAGAATAAGTAGTCTCCGCTTTTCAAAGGAGAAAAGCAGCTCTCAGCAGCAGTCCTTTCTCTAGACTCTCTTTAGAGCTTTGCTGGCTCTGGTACATAGCATCTCCCGCATTCCCTGCGTTTCAAGTGAGCAGGTTGGCTGTCATTCACAGGGCAACCAATTTTCATTTCAAGAGCAATGTTTATATGGAAAATAGATTAAATAGATTAAAGCTAAAAACAATTGTCATTATCATTTCAAAAGACATATGAATATGTTTTACATACTAGTTACTGAATAAAAATACAGGGTATTCAGCCAGAACATCATGTTTACTTTAAAGTAGATTAATCATATAATCAACAGTTTTCAGTCTAACATCAAATATTTCATAAAGCATACTGCACTGTTTTAGAAGCCAGGCTCTTATTTCATGAAATACAATCAGTCCACATAAGAATAAATGCAAAAGCCTGCGTTATGAAATTCTGCAAAATTGATTTGTTTTTCTTTTAAATACAAGCCACTCACCATGATTAAACTCAATATTCAACTTCCTTCACACTCTCCAGGATAACAGTCAGGAGCACCTACTACTTTCCAAATGAAATTCTTAAGCAGAAGGCTCTACCCCAGTTTCATAAAAAGACCAAATGACATTTGGCTCTGAGCTATCCATGGACACACGTCTACAAATTTGAACACAATTACACCAGCAGCTTAGGTATCTGTTGAAGACAGGATGTTTGGTAGGCTATGTATTTCGACCACAACCCATTGCTACTAAGTGTTTCAATAAACACAATATGAAAAGCACCACTGAGCTTTTTATGGAGGGCACAGATAGGATGCAGTCAAATAATTCCCGAGCTGACAAGAGAAAAATAATTAACAAAAAAAATATGATACATGCCCTTTAAAATAGACCCATTAAAATGGCCATGAGTTGCTTTAATAAAAGCAGACTCTGCTCAGGTCAGTTTTGTTTTCTCTCACATTGACTGAATTGTAAAAGTCTCTTGCCAGAACACTTGAATGTTCATTTTTTAGATTTAGAATTTTCTGGTAACCCCATAGCTACAACAATTCAGATACGGAAGTCAATATGCCTTAGTATCACTCTTATTTTTACAACTCATTGGCCTACATTTTTTATGGTATAAAATGTAAAAGATTATAGACCTATAAATAATAATAAAATCTGCATCTGTTATTACAGTTTTACCAGTTATCATGGAAAAGAATTATTTATAAAACCGTTTCCACAATTTTTCCAGGGCTTTGGGTACCATTATCCTCATTACATAGAAGGAAACAAAGGCAAAGATCCATTAAGCGACTTGCCTGAAGGTCTGGTGAGTCAGTGGCTGAAATGAGAACACCATCCTGCTGTCCCTTCCACTCCCTGTGTCCAGTCGCTAACTCCGCATGAAGTTGGGCTCTTGCCACACATCTTCCCTGGGTTTTAACTCGTGTGTGAACATTCACAGTGAAGCTGGTTGTTATATGCTTAATACAACAAGCTGACCACTAAGTTTACTGAGAGTGATGCTGTCTTGTGTGACTCATAGTTTGAAACACTAATGCCCTCCTTTCCTACGGACTATAATTTGTACACACAACACATATCCCATGATCCAGTCCCTTCTCTTCTCTTGCAGTATCAGACTGTATTATTACACTTAGAATCAGTTTAAATTCATTACTTCTACAGTATCTAAGACTCTTGTATCAGAACTGCAATATTACTTACAAAGATATATTGATGACTAACAGCTGGCAGAGACTGTCCTTTTAGCTCAAGTACTGGAGTATTTTAACCACTTACTCATTTTTTCCTCTTCACTCTACCATTGGCTGTGCTCCATTCAGCAATTTAGTTACTGCTATTTATCATCACACATGTCTCTTCAGTCACCTTAGTAACACTAAGGAATGTTTTACAGTTTACATTTGTAATAGATTTTGTAATAGATTTGTAGAATAGAATTTGGAAAAGATTTTGTCAGCTACCAAGGAACATGCTCTTTTCCACTGGTTGGATAAAGCAGTGCAGACTGAGGGCACAGAGAACCTCCCGCTATGCAGTTCAGAATTTTGCATCATGTTCTGTGTATGTAGAATGGTAGATCTAGAAAGACAACAGTGTCAAGCAGAAAAACAACCAAGCAAAACCCCAAACCACTGTCTATCTTCAGCACTAACTTTATATTTTGGATGCAGATCCAGCATTTGGGTGAAATAAGCTATTCAACTTACCTGCAGTGGAATCAACTGTGCCTGGCTAGGTTAGTGCTTCCCAAGCGTGATCTGCAGACTGTGGTCTGCAAGATACCAGGTGATGATACGCAAAACAGCTGCTTAAAGCCCTCTCACACATAAATATTTTCATAGAAGCAACCAAGGAAAACAAAGTGGAGAAATAAATGCAAACAAATTTTCAAAATTAAGGTTTTTTTTATTATGATTTGATTGTGCATAAAAATTAATGGGGCAACACTCTACAATGTGATCCTGGGATTGTGGGTTTTTTTTGTTATGTAGCCACTGGTTCACAAGGAAAGTTGAACAGCATTACTCTATTTTTAATAAACAGACCATAAGGACCCCCTTTTATTTTTTAAGCTTTTGCCTGCACTGCAGGCAAGGCTGCACATTTACAGAATCAGTTTACAGAATTCCACGTATTTGTATATTGATCCTGAAACAGGATTTCAGATATAAAGATCTGTTTGCACAGATGTATCTACACAGTTTGGAGCACTGTAACATTTCTAGCTTTTCCCGTTTGCAGTAAAAACCATGCTACAAAACTGCACTAAGGTCTTAAATCAGTTTACCAAAAGTACACGTAACAAGCAGAACTTCACGATAATGAAGAGATCTGCCAGTTAGTAACAGCTGTCACGTTTGTTTCCTTCTCTCTTCTTGTATTTCTGAGCTGCTTTTTGAATAAGTTAAAATAGATATATAATAAACAATATACTGTATCTGACTAATTCTGTGTTTGCATAAAAAAAGGCCCATTTCCCTTTTGCAATTGCAGATGCAAAAGAAACATGTTGTTTAAAAGACAGATATACTTCATTCTGGCCAACCAGTAACATATTGGAAGATGAATAACGTGGAAAAAATATGAATATTGAAGTCTTCTGTTATTATTTTGACACACAATTTAATCAAGATTATTGTTTTTCTGTGCTGCTACTTTATCTTTTTGGTGCTCTTTTAGAGAAACAGTCATGTTACGGCTTTGATTAGTGTAGCAAATGTAAATACACATTTTTGAATTTTTAGGTCTTTTAAATATTCTTTGAAATACAGATTTTTCACTACTAGCTGAGGTAAATAGGAAAATAGAAGCACCAAAAGAGAGAGTTATAAAGATTATGGGCTAAGGAACTACCCCAAATTCCTTATCCAGGCAATTTGAAAGACCAGAAACAAGAATTCTGCCTCAGAAAGGAATTCATAAAATAGCTGTCACCTTTCAGATCTCTTTTCAGTCAATGCTCATCCAGAGGAGAAAAAAAAAGGCACCTATGAATTAAAAAGTAGGCAGAAGAAACCCTCACTGGCTGTAAATTGCAGTCCTGATGAAGAGGAGTCAACATCGTTTCAGTCCTCTACCTTTACACAGACAAACATAACTAGGCAGTATCAATCATGTAGTCACTATACATTAATTACAGACACACGTGATTACAGTATAGCGATATCCAACATTTTGGCAAGGTTAGCCCAATTTAGAGTCAAGCTATTCAGGGACTGCAGAGGAAACCGTTCCCCAGCTCACTTCCCAAAACAGGTTATTGAAAACATGAAGACACCTTCTCCTTTAGAACAAATCGGCAAAGTAGAAAAGGTAAAATGTAAAATGTACCTTCCTTGCATCTTATTTGGACTCAGACTCTTCATCCACGAATTCAACTAGAGAAGCATGTCTGTTGGCTTGGGCACCTTCTTGGAAATTAACCTTTTTGATCACTCCTGCCTTTGGAGCTCTTATGGTGTGCTGCACATAGGGAACACATCAGTGGTAAACCAGGGGAACATTTTTACAGTATTTTTACATATCTTCTTTCTACAATAAATGCTAATCCTTTTCTGGTGCAATTAAAACAAAACATATTTAATCACTTCCTCCAACACACGCATATTTATCTGAATTTGTATTTGTCTTATTTTCTAATTATATTTCTTGATCAATATTTATTTTGATAAATATACTGTAGACAAAAATGCTAGTTAATGTGACATTTTGAAGAATAAATGTTATTTTACTTCACTGATACTTTTTGTTAATGTACTAGATAACCAGCCAAAACCAATAAAAATTGATTCCAGTATGTTAATCATATAACAGATCTGTTCCCTTAAGAGGAATCTGCACATTTAGTGCAGGCATTTTTGTCTGCTGGCCTAGATGGATCTTTATCGAATAGATTTAGGAAAAACCCAGTTGAAATACGCATGCAGCCATTAGTGATACTGAAGGAATTATATGTTTCAGTCCAGCTTCCAAACTGGCAACCACATGCTCTGGGTGTCCCTGCTGGAGCAGGAGGGTTGGACTAGATATCTCCAGAGGTCCCTTCCAACCTCAACCGTTCTGGGATTCTGTGATACTTGTTATTACATCGGGTTAGTTTTCCACTGAAGTTTTTTTTGTAGATGATTTTCTGGAATGCTATTTTAACATCAAAACATTTAATAACAAATATTATTTGCTTCTGTCTTAGCAAGGATTCATTTAAATAAGAATTTGTTTTGGAAATTTTACATTTTATACTTGTAATAGCACTGAAAATAAAACACAGAACCACTTAGGTAACGTTATCTGAGACATCATTTGGAGCAGTACAAACATTTACCACACAACCTCAAATAATTTGCAATCCTTTTCTTAGTTTCTGTGCTGGATTTCATGAAACTTTAGTTTAATTTATAAAAAGCCATAATAGGGAAAAACATATTTTCAACAACCATAATTCTAGTACTACAAATTGAGTTGCAAAATAAATGACTAAACCCAAACCTAATCAGCATGGGCTACAGAAACTATACCAAACCATTTTAGCCAGTGTCAAGTGATTTAACAGATCACATATTGGCCAAAATACTATTCCCCTGAATACCACAGGGTCAATTACACACCACCTTTAGTTTACTTTTGGTAAAATTTTATGTAAATAATAATCAACACATTTTAAATAAGAAAATCTTGGGCATATTTACAGAGTAACCATTAGTTACGTTTCCGGACTAACTGCAGGCATCAGAATAACATCCTTATATCACAGAGTAACCAAGGGGTTTAGGATAAAGAAAGGATTACTTGCTCCTTGGGAGGTAAACAGAAGTATTTGCACAGCTAGCCAAATGAATGTTTAAACATCTGAAGAGCACCACAGATTATATAAACATGCTTTACTAATAAAATAACAGCAAATGGAATCCTGTAAAATCTAGTCAGACACAAGACTCGTTTCACAGCATATGAAGCAATCAAGACAGAATCAGCACCAAATTTCAATAATTCAACTGACACTTATAAAACCATGGTAATACTTCAATATGTCACTCACCTCCATTTTCATAGCTATCATAACCATTAGAGGGTCCCCAATTTGAACCTTATCACCTGCTTTCACAAATATCTATAGAGACAAGCAAAAATAGGTGAAAAATCATGTACAGCTGTAGCATTAAAAAGCATCATATGCATCTTGATTAGCACAAGAGGCTAATCTGGTTCGATCAACTGAGTGACTATGGTTATGTAAAATCTCTTAATATCTTTATTATGTTGAGCTGGGTATCTCAGTTTCAAAGATAATATTCAAGGGGAGGCAGAGGCTGTAGAAAAAGGTTCAGTACAGGCTAACAAGATGAGCAGGAAGCCATTTATGTCATGAAGAGGAAACACTAAAGACAAGGTATATCCTGGCCTTTCTGGCTTAAGAGTTTCTATTTTGAGAAAGCCTCTTCCTGGAGTCAGTCACTAAATTTGTTTTTAAAACAGAAAGAAGATTGCTGGAGACATTTATTATTTCTGCAGTAATCCTGAGCTGGACCATTCACTCAGGATGTAGGAGATCTATGTTTACTGTTCATGTATTTATATGCCTACATTCCATTTAGATCCTTTTTACTTCTATACTTCTGGGCTTTTCTTTTCTGAAACAACAAAGCGCAAAGCTGAACAGCAAAGGCATTTCTGAGCTTAACTTCTTTTGGCAGGTGCAACCATCATCACATTCTTTCGGTTGGATGATGTGGGTCAAATAGCATGTATAACACTTCAGGGACCTTTGGCTAAGGAAGTAATGGCAGTGATGAAACAAATTTATTCAAATAGCAGGATTAGTTAAATATTCAGATTTTTCTGAGCTCTGGGAAAGGAGACTAGACGCCTGAAACACTCTTGCAAGGCTACTGATAAGTGGCCTAAACAGGGATTTTTTCAGTTGGGAGGATCCACATAGATCTGACGTATTCAGCCCTGACTCCTTCCTGGCAATATAAGCGCCAGTGTTGGAAGGCTGAACTTGGGTATATATCAGAGAATTCATTTTCCTACTGATATCATTATAATTACCTTTTCAATTGTGCCAGTCATGGGTGCTACGGCACCACCTTGCATTCCCTCTGAGCTCACTGCAGATAAGTACTTGGGCACAGGAAGACCAATCTGAGCACTACCTTCCTACAAATAATAAAACAAAAATCTGAATAAACAACATGAAACAACATCACTAATACACACAGTGCTATACATATAACATGCCCAGCTTAATGCAGAGGCAAACATGCGGGCTGCCTAAGGGCAGCAAATGTACTGTGGGCACATTGACTTCTCTGGCAATGTCAAAGCCCTCAAAAGCAAGAGCTGAAGTATCAGCAAGGAAGCAACGTCCCCTGTGGAAGATGGAGGGTCCACAAGGATCTTTGCTCCAAACCCATACCCTCCCTATTCACACAGCAACAATAAAGAAGGATGTAGAAAATAAGTGAAGGCTGTTTGCCTGGAAAAAGGGTGGGCAGGCTGCTGCAGTTAAGTGGGGAGGAGACTGGCATCTTCAGAATGTTCCATAATCCGCAAAGAAGTGGATTCAGGGCTAAGTTTAGTGAGACACTGCCTAAATTCTAAATCCCCTAATTCCTCCTAGACTTGTTACTCAGAGTTCCTGGGCCTCATTTTCCCCAACCTCCTCCTCTACAGCTCCCATATTTTATTCCAGATCCCTCACCTAATACATCACTTCATTACCACAGGAAAACTGAATTTTGCTTTTCCAGCAGGAGTTATTTTGCCCTCATCATGGGTGCAGTGATTTTTTCACTGCATGGTGCCGAAAGCCTTAAGTGGCTAAGACATAGAGGTTAATTATTAAAATTAAACACAGAATAACTTATTTACTCAGATTTTAGATTACATATATTATTGAGTTACTTTAAGTCTCCTGTAATCTTTTCCACCGTCATAAAGAATTTCCAGCTTAATCATGCAAATTAGGGCACCTCCTCTTTCCAATGTCATTACTAACGCAATGCAGATAATACCACAGTAACTTGTAATTCCAATTTTCTAATATTAGCTGAAATTACACTACTTCAGACTCACCTTGATTTCTCTCTCAATTTTTTAAAAAATGAAGGATACTGCAATAAAAGTATCAGAATTGCAAGCACCTTCAAATACTTGTCAATTACAAATTACTGCTATTCTAAGTCAACCTCAGATATTTGGCCATTTTAACACTTTGCTAAAACGCCTTTGATTCAGATCATTGCACAGGTAATCACCCACTCACAGGTAAGCAACAACCTCTAATTATAGTTATAAATCCAACAACATTATACATCACTATAAAAAAAATGGTTCTTGAAATTAAGATTCTCTTTCACACTGTCTTGAAATTTATATTGTTCATTTGGATCAGTAAAACTATGCTTAGATGAGTTTTTGCACTTGTGATAATAAAAAAAGGAACTTTACCGGAGTGAAGAGATAAATGGTGTTGTCCAAAATGACCATTTTGGACTTAGAAATTGCTCCATTTACTGAAGATCTCAAGTAAAAAGAATTGCCTTCTTTGAAGATATCTCCAGAAATCAGGAACGTTTTATCTTCGATCTGAAAATTAAAAGCTTTTATAAGCAGAAAGCCAAACTGTCGATAAAGTGTAATACACTAAAACAGAAGTTAGACTTTACAGTATCCTCTCACAGCCTCTGATTCTTCATAGATAATTCTGGATTTAAAAAAAAAAAAACCAAAAAACTTCCTGAATCTTATACATTCTTTATTTTTCAAACAATAGAATATATTCAATATCCAATGAAGCCAGACGAGAGGATTATATGCTCTCCCAGGACATTCTTTTTTCTAAATCATAAACCACACAGTAGTACTCAACAAAATACAAGGGCACGGACTTTGTTCAAAGTGAAATATATCCATACTACCTGCCTCATAAGGTAAGCTTCAACAGTAGTGAGCTCCTCACTCTTGGAAGCTTACAACACAAAAATGACAATATATTCAGTACACCTACAGAGGAGCCAAGGTAATCAGTGACGGTAAGAGGCAGTGTCAATTAAACACCAAAACAGTACAAGAAAGACCAAATATGTGTATTTTGTAGGTAAGCCTTTCATCTAAATCAGTGTAACCTGTTTCTCTGCCGCAAAATCAGAATATTAAGAATATTAAGTGTTATTACATTTAGCTGACACTTTCAGTTAAAAGCCTGACATCATTGAGCACAAAATTAGAGACTTGTTTATCTTTAAGTATGATACGTGTAGAGATTAAATTTTGTCTTTATTTATACAGTCACATACTACTTTTTCCACCAAACGAAAGCCTCAAGTGCATGTACAGGTGATCTGCACCTGACCCCTGAGGAAACATCTTTTGATCTATCAGTGTCCTGAGCAGGGGTGCAATACCCTATATATAACCATATATATAAAATCAATACCTCATATATAATCACATATAATCAATATCTCAAATAACTCCTAGGTTATTTTAATGTATGTGGATTGTATGAGTATTTAGAGTAGCAAAAATAGCAGTCAGGGTCTGAGGTATCTGACGTGATTATATCCAGTGTTTTTCCACTAAGCTCATCTCTGTAGAGTCTAAGCAGTTCACAATTATTGACTTATTCTCCTAATGCCCATTTGCCGAATTTTAGAAACAAGAAATGCAAATGCAGAGAGATTAAGTGTTTAATCATTTTTGTGTGCCAAATTTAAAATGTAATCCATTAGGAGATCCTATTTGATTCCAGGTTGTACATGGCACATATTCAACACTCACCAAAACAGAACTCTCATAAGCCAAACAAACAAAAAACCCACCCTATATTTAAGTGTCTTCACTAGTATCCTGCAGGCCTTTTATTGGACAGAGTTAGAAGTCAGTTCTACCAGGCAGCATTCATTTATTTAATCATAACACTCTACTGTTCTGATCATTGCTTATCACATTTGATAAAGTTTCCAATTTCTGGCAGCAAAGAAAAGGTATTATCTTACAAACAGTGCTCTACAGAGATTTTATTTATCCCACAGCAAGTCTATCTCATGCACAGAATAAAGTCCAAGTCCTGTAGAAGAAGTACTTTTAAATGCTGGTTTAAATCTAACCTCCAATGTTCTATAAAAGCAATTTTATGGAAGGGACAACAGAGTTGGAACTTTAAAAAACAGGAAAGCAAGTGTTTTTCTTAGCTTTGGTTTCAGAAACATTTTAGCAGATCTTCCACCCAAAGAAAGCACAGAAAATTTCAGGCCAGGCTAATAAAGTCTGCCGTGTCTGAACATAAAAAACAGAATCTTATATGGGTGATTATCAAGCAACCTTAGTAACAGCTGATACCAACAGAAGTCGACCAGGAACTGGCTCTACGTTTATCTAGCAAAATATCTAGGAAAAAAGGAAATATACATATTTAGTTGTACCTGCATGTTGTATGTCCCTTCTCGATTGTAATTTACCATTACATCCACAGCTGTTCAATAAAACAAACAAAAAAAAAACACAGAGATTAGAGGACCTAGTGAATAATGACATATAAACAATAATCCAAATTTCTTTTTTGATAAAAAGAGTCCTCTACTACTATTCTCAGATTAGCTTAGCAGAAACTGCAGATTTGTGGCAGCCCGTACTGAACTTCAGATAACCTATATTTTTTTCCCAAAGCTGAACATCTGAATTTATGATTTGAAATCAATATTAAGTTATCTAGACAGAAAACAGATTCTTGAAGGGGAAAAGCGCTGAACATTTCCACAAAGTCATCAAAAAAAAGCTGACAGCACTTCTAAAAATGCAACCATATTTAGATGATGAACATTATTTCTGACATTTTCATTTGGTTTGTATTTCCCCAAGACTAAATGGCATGCATTTAATAAACAGCCACGCAGCTTTGCGAATCTTCTTCTCATGTTGAATAAAACTCATACTGCTTCTATTTGTTATTTCTTATCCTGAATTTTAATACATCAGTTGAAATTAGTTTGTCCATTAAGTATTGCCATCCCCTCTTGCACTCTTAGTTATTCACTTACTGTTTTCCCCATCCAGAAGAGACAGTTTTCTAGTATACAATATATTTAATCTTCTACCACTGCTGGATGCAAATGGTGAGAATTTATCTAAAACACAAAATACAGGGACATGTTACTATTGTTGTACTTGGACAAAAGACAATGCTTAGAACTTACATCATAAAAGTCACAGTCCTATCCCTACCATTAGCAAGGCATCAGGCTTCCTGGGAAGGTTGATGACTTTTCCTTTGCTAGCTATTTCTGAGAATGGATAAGGTATACAGCTATCTGATATTGCCCAATTAATTTATCCTCTCTTAAAACAAAGGTATGAGTGGGCTTTCTGACATACGGGATTTTACGCAATCCCAGTTTTCCATATTTCCAGCAAACAGGATGAAGAAACAAAATTAATAAGGTTGCTGGGTAGCAAACATTAGAGGTTTGTAGGAGACTTCCATTAACAGCAATCACATTTGCCATTGGTCTAGGTATTTACAGCTTATACTTCTAACCCTCAATTACATCGTCATAAATACACTCCTGTGAACAGATTTGAACACCCAGACGTGGAAAAAGAGTCTTTCCAAACTTCCCTTTGATCAAGAGTCTTCCCATTTGCTTCAGTAAATTCTGAATCACACCCATGTGGTTTTCAGTAAATTCAAAAAAATTACAGTATTAAAATTCAAGAATTTTCAGCTCCTGGGGTTCTGTTAATAAATTCTACCGATCCTAGTGGAATCACTGGACCAACTGCAGGAGTAACAGTTACGAATAGTCCTGCTTGTGCATGACGAGTGGAAGAGGATACAGTGACACAAATTATGAGCTTGCATCCCAAGACCTTCTAGATATCGACTCTCTGTCCATGGAAGCACTCTGTACACCACCCTGGTGATATATTGAGTATCTGTCTCTTAGCAAAAATCACAGTCTGCCTTGACTGTGGATATCAGCCAGATACCGGAACACAGAACTCTGAGCAGGAACAAAGCAAGACAAAGACAAAGCATACAAATGCAATAATGGTCCATGAGCTCTCCACACTGCCTCATGCACACACAAGCAAAAAAATAAAAAGGAAAATAATAATGATCCTTACCACCTGCCTGATCTCTAAAAGCATCTGTTACCATTTTCTCTTTCAGTATGAGTCCTAGAGCTGCCTGACACACAACTTCATGTGGAGTTGCCTTTTGGGCTGGAAACAGCTCATCGTGGTGCTGAGGAATGAAATTAGTGTGCACATTTCCAGCCTCAAACTGCGGGTGTCTTGAGAGGCTCAGTAAGAAATCAATATTAGTGTTTAATCCTACAATCTGTCAAGGAAAAAGAAGCATATTACCAATGAAATGAAGTTATGAACGAACACGTGGATTTCTGTTTAACTGATACATGAATGAACCTTTCCTAAAACAGTATCAGCTAAACATTGTTTACCAAGAAAATGTAGTTAATTCAATCAGGATGTTTCATTGTTTAAGAAGCCACTGCTCTTAAAAAAAACAAACAAAACCTCCCTTTCCCAGAAGGAGTACTAGCTGACTTAGAAGGGGTAATTTAAGAAAGAAATACTTTCGGGGAGAATTTTTGTGCTCCGAGTACTTTACAACATACTCTCAGAACATGTTTCTAAACCAGCTAAAATAGTTTCAGATATGCCAAACCTGATCTTTTAAAAGTAACAAATGCGAAATCTATAAATTTACTAGAGTCTGTGCATTTCCTGTTGTCATAAATATCCAATTAATGAAAGAATGGGAAAATATAAATAGCTAATTTAGAGAAAGCGGTTATTAACTGATTAACTGACTGTGCCATCAACATTTATTGACAGAGATACTAAGAAAACAAAATTCCTTGGTAGAATTCCTTGGTTGAATAGATAACTCCTCTGAGTTCTCTCTCTTACAGTATCTTAATTTTTAGCTATAACAATAGTGGCTCAAGCATTTTCACCAACTCTGCAGTCAATCCGTATGTTGTTGATTTAAAAGCTCAAGTTAATTTTTGCAGTGAATAACATTTAGTTTGACATCAAGTCAAACCTTCTCAATTCTGGTTCTAAAAGCAGATACAGTTGTTGCAATTTTCACGTGGGAAAAGGGACACATCTTAGAAGTAATTTACAATATTAAAAAAATTAAGTCTTTCTTTACAACATGTATATTCTAAAATCCAATTCTTTCAATTATCATAATTATAACTACAAATTGACATGAATCCCACATGCAAACTCCTTTAAGTTTGAGCAAGCTCAGACAATGGTTTCATACTTTGTCATTTAGGCTTACTGCTTTACATCCTAATTGCAATTTAAGATATTGCAAATTTAAGAAAAATTCACTTGTAAAACAGAACTTTATCTCTACTTGTTTCACTGATGAAAAAAGCTTGCAAATTAGGAAAAATACAGCCTGAGCAAACAAGAAATTAATTTGCAGTGGTCATGACAACACAGTCCTCTCTGTGAAGCCACTCTTGCTTTATTGTATTATTTCATTAGCTTTCTGCTAGTCCAAGAGGTAGCAAATTTGAAATCGTACTGGGTTCCTTCTACTTACATTATATTGGTGCAAACTGTATCTCAACTTTCTTAGCGCTGCTTGACGATCCTCAGCCCAAACAACTAACTTTGCAATCATTGGATCGTAATGGACAGAAACCTCATCACCTAAAACATAAAAAGATAATTTCAGAGATGGGAATCTTCTGAAAGTTGGTACACATAGTAATGCCTCAGCATATGGTAGTAAATTCCAATTCAATTAACAGCCAGCATGTCATTAGAGAAAATTAATTTTTAACTCCCCAGCATTTCACTTTATGGCCAGTCTCAGGATAGACTTCTACAAAGAAAAATATTACTCTAATTTGATTTTGTCATACTCAGAATTGCAGGGTTGGTAAATTATGATGGGAGTATAATCAGCATAACTCAGTGGAAGATCTGGATAGAAAGAGATAAATAAAATATTCTGTGATTGAATAAAGTATAAAAAAATGTAAAAAGGAATAATTCTGAAGAAACTTGTATTTATGACAACATCCTGTCAGTCAAACTGTTATTTATATCAAAGAAGGAAATACTTAAAAGGAGGAACTTTTTGACAATACATTTGTCAATGAAATACAGAAATACATTTGACAAAGTATTTCCAATTACATCTCTGTCCTCAATTTTACCTTGTCTGACTCCAGTCTCTATCCTGGTGAAACTATCAGGTAGGGGGGTAGATAAGTGTAGCAGTGGTCCAGCCCCTGGCATAAAGTCATTATTAGGGTCTTCAGCATATATCCTTGCTTCAAATGCATGGCCTCGGAGCAGAATCTCCTCCTGCCTTAGAGGAATCTTCTCTCCTGCTGCAACCTGAAAACAATATATATTTTTTCTTTAATGCAGGATCAATATTTTCCATTTGGATACACTTGGGTATTATATACACATCCCCTTCACTATCCCTGAACACAGCAAATTGAAGAATAGAAAGAATATCAAATCCAACAATATCATTGTCTTGGTATCTGAACTAATGCAGTCAAGTAGTAGTAGCAGATTGCAACACTATGCTTGAACAAAACAAATAGCTTCAGGACCACTTTGTTTTGTATTTTGGAACAGCAATTATCCAGAGATTGAAGAGCTACAATCTCAACCAAGAAAATACCGTGGCTTTGTAACAAAACTAAGGTTATTTCTAGGTAAAAAAACAGTTTTCAACTAGCAACTGTCTTTACTCCCTTTATTCTTTCCCCACATCAAAGTGATGCTTTTTGCAAGCACATACTTTTTGTAAAAGATCTCTAGTGAGCTTTTGCCAGTTTGTTTTGCTTTTCTGCTTACACTAAACACTTTGCCACCCTGTCTACCTACAGTTAATTATGTGCTGCACTTGTGGCTTTTGAGATTTATCTAATCAGATTTTTTTTTGTTGTTTTTATTTTTAGTTCCTTTACGTCTAAAACTTCCTGTCATCCTTCAGACATGTTAGCAACCTCTGCATACCGGGTATATGAGGAAACAGCCCATTTCCAGTGCATGCAACTATACATTTACTTTGGAATGTTAATATGCTGGTATAACACCACAAACATGCTCCTGTGACAAGTTTTTCTCCTCTGGTTTGATTCAGAATCAGTTTTGGGCCAGAGATATACTACACATTTAAAACAGAGATAATAAAAGATTTAGAATGGCAAGGAGAAAAAATCATGACTCTATTCCTCCAACTTCCTACATTCTCTATAACCTGGATAAACATATGGAAAACAAGTTTTTCCTCCCCATAAACAGAGGAAGTCTTTGTTGGAATTCAGAGCATCTCCACAATACTCTCCAATTAAAAAGGCTAAGAAGATTTTCCTGCAGAGCAATGGAAACTGCACCCTGACAGCTGAATGGGATATGAGCACCTGAAAACAAATCTGGTCTCCCACAGACAGTATCAAATACTGCTCATCAGAGAAGGGGGAATCCATGTACAATTACCACTTACCCTAAGCTGCCATTCCACCAAGTCTGTTCCAGTGATCATTTCCGTAACAGGATGCTCCACTTGCAGTCTGGTATTCATCTCCATGAAGTAAAAATTATGTTGGGAATCCATAATAAATTCCACTGTTCCTGAAGCATTTAGTAAGAGGAAACAAGTTTTTTGACTGACATAAGACATTTAGGCATTTGTAGTTTTGAAAGATGCTTTCACAGAACTAGAGAGCTCGTTTAATGCTCCAAGCATTAGGTCTAAAACAACTAACTGTCAGAAATAATGGAATCAGATGTTAGCACAATGTCTTTATTTCTAAATAAGGTACACTGAATTTCATTACATTCCATGCTAATTATCTTAAAGAGTTACAGAGATCTAAAAACAAAAGGGTTATTTCCTTGCATATTTACATATTCTGTGACTTCACAGATACTGAGTTGTTTTAAATGTCTTTCCTGTCAGAACATTATGTTTTATTCTTTGTACAATGAAAGAGAAATTTTGCTTTGCTCAAACTTGCTTACATTCACAGTGCTCACTTTCCAATAGCAATCTAGTTGATTCAATCATCTGTTCTAAGAATATTTTCTTTATATTCATCTGTTGAGCTCAGATTAGGTGTGCTGGTTTAAATTTTGTCATTAAATCAGAATAAACTATGCAGTTACTCACTTAAGTCTCAAAAAAATCTGGAATGTTTGTCAATCTCCAGAACAACCACATAGCATTTGCTTTGTATGTGGTTTTTTTTTTTTTGAGTAGCCATGCCTCCAGACTTACCTGCTCCCACATAATTCACTGCTTTAGCTGCTTTGACAGCAGCTTCTCCGAGTCTCTTTCGAACTTCTGGATTAATTCCTGGCTAAATAAATAATAATACAAAAGATTACAAATTATTTCAAATTTTATCGACAGCAGACTTGCTACAAATAGGAATATTTTGTGATGTTTAGAAACTGTAATAAAAATATCAAAATCATGTTTGAAATTATGTATTTTTTTCTGACAAGCATTTTCCTCAATTAAGTCATTGTTTTTAATTAGAACATTTTCTGAAGTAAAATTAAAACAACTACTGAGATTTACAAGTCATAAACATTACTAGATAAATAAGATGGGCACAAACAATAGATTTTAAAATTATGTCTTTTCTTTTAAAAGGATTTTAAGAACATTCTGCTTACCCCAGGTGCCTCTTCAATGATTTTCTGATGCCTTCTTTGCACACTGCAGTCTCTTTCAAACAAGTAGACTGCATTGCCATGCTGGTCGCCAAATACTTGGACTTCAACATGCCTGTTTCATAATAATAAATGTATCAATGTACTTCAGAGGGTCACTGAAGCCTCAATTCTGTGACCGACTTCATCCAGACTTTTAAATTTGTACACAGTACTCTAAGACTTCAGTGGGATTTCTTAAGAGTTTATGTATCTGCCCATAAATAAATGAAAATGTAGAAATGAAATTACTATCAACAGGAATTCAACTGCATTAGAGTCCCTAAATCTTCTAAGTGAAGTAGGATTCTGAATTCTGACTGCTGAAGTGAAATCTCATGGGTCAAAAATAAACAGGACACATATTTAAAGGCTGCTACCTCTCTATTTTTTTTTTCCTTATAATACAAGTATTGATATTATTTGGACATGACTATAATGATATTTTCTTCTGTAGTTTAATGCAAGTGTAGAAACTCCCAAGAGGCGGCAAAACTATTATTTTGACATAGTATTTCAGAAAACAACTACTAGGTGGCAGAAGCTCTCCCTATACATAAAATTAACAGCATTTTGTCACTATTCAGATAATTAGTTTGCTGGCAAAAGAAATTCTCCAAGAACTTAGTCACATTCTTCCATGCCCAACTGTCAATATAAAGAAGCCCCTAGTTTCGGTCTATTACATCATCTCTTTGAAAGTTGTAAAAATCAATGTCTGTTTAATATATCAAGATAAAGAAAAATTTACAAAATAGTTCAGGACATTTGAAGGCAGCAGAACCATCATGACCTGTTGATTCAAAGGCCTGTAGTCAAAGCATTATAAAGTAATTTTTTTTCTGGATAAAAAGTGAATTTGGAGGGCTGACCTAGCAGGAACGTTGATGTGATAGCCTAATACAGTACAAAATACTCAGAACATATTCTATAATAACATAATTAGATGTTACTGCCATGTTTCCAAAACATCTGTATTTTAACAACTCAAAACAAAGTCACTATAATCAATTCAATGTCATAGAATAAACAATTATTATTCATGAATATATGCCACAGTGCAGTTCAAACGTACAAGAATCACTTTGATTCTTTTGAGATATCTATGTTCATTCAACAGTATAATAAACGTTACACAATTTATAGAAAAATATCTATTTCTCACCTTGGCTGGTCAACAAATTTCTCTATCAGCATTGCATCATCATTAAAAGACTTCTTTGCTTCTCTCCTAGCTGATTCTAGCTGGTCCAGAAATTCCTTTTCTGAATGAGCAATTCTCATGCCCTATGGAACAAAAATAAGATATAAATCTCTAGCAATGTGGTACACAACAAAAGCTCCTGTTGCTTACAAACATTCAGGAAATTTCCCTTCTTTCTTAACCATTAGTAAAGCTGCATATTAACTTCCAGCAAGATCATCCTATTAAGTCTCACTGAAAGTGATAATAAAAGTACAAAAAAAGGATATTGTCATTCTATTGATACAGATGAATAAAAAAAAAAATCTGTATGATTCTTGAATCTTATACAAAACTTCCAAGATGAGCAAAGAAAAAAAATGATTTCTTTACAAAGTTAAACAGACCTATTTTGGAAATAAGTAGAACTCTCTACCATGCCACTTTTATACAAATGTATATGAGAATAAAATGAGATTTAGACAAGGAATTCACCATGCCTTAAAAGGTGTGCAGATACTGGTTAGTCAACAATTACTTATGCAACATTTACCACTGCTAATGAAAAATTCGTAATAAATTTATTGTTCAGTAACTATTTAAACTCGCTTGATTTCACCCAAATAAATCCATAAGACAAATTTTCTGGGTATGTAAATCACTAGAAATTCATTAATTAAGTTGTATTAGTTTATACCACCTACATTTTTGCCTTTGGACTGCACAATAGGTGGAACGTGATTTCGGAGGGCTGTACTGGTCACTATATTTATCTATTAATAATTAAGTTCAACTAGAAGCAATTCTCCAGTTTCCTTGCTTTCAGAGATTTTTTAATACCATTCAATAAGTACAAACAGAGGCACAACAACTTTACACCACGTGACAAACAGATTTGTGTCAGTTCCTTTACCTTTCCTCCGCCTCCGCGAACAGCTTTAATCATTACTGGATATCCTATTCTTTTGGCATGTTCTTTCAAACATTCATCTGACTGATCTTCTCCGTGATAACCTTCAACAACAGGAACGCCAGCAGCAGACATTATAGCTTTGGAAGTGCTTTGACAGAACAGTTTTATGTTTAGAATAACAATAATATTTTTCTTACTATAAACTCCAAATCTGCAATTGCTCCCATTGTTAATTGCCATCATATAGGAAGCTCCACTGATTTCAAAGGGACTGCTTACATAGGTGGATTTGGTAGGATCTGACTACAATTAATTTAATGCTCTAGATAGGAATAGGAATCTTTTCTCTAAACTCTCCAGATAAAAAGTTTTAGTCAATTCCTAACCTAACTTTTCCAAATTAAAATACTACATCCTGCCAAAACTTATTCTAAAGTTTTGCAAAGGCAAAACTCTTGTGATACAAACTCTACCTTTACTCATATCACACATAAAGCACCCAAACATGTAACAGTAGCTTCAAACATACAGGTAAAACTAATTTACAGAGGTAATTTACCCTCAGGTTAGTAAATGGCAGAAAACAGTACTTCTATGAAATTAATATTACAGAGTTGATGTTTTATAAATAAGCTTATTTCCATATTTTTGATTTACACTTCATGCCTTGGAAACATTTCTTTGGTCCAAGTAACTACAATATTCTGTGATGAACAAAATATATCCACACTCTTTAACATGAGCCACAATCTCTGCTGCAGCATCTTCTCTTCCACCATTCTCCTGATTCATTTGTGACCACTATGTAAGAGATCCAATCTAATCGCCGAGTTTTTATCTGCATTAACACTGCAAGGCCTCAATCACACTGGATAACTACATTCAATTAGGTATGTAATTATTAAATCTCTAGTAGCTGAACAATCTTTATTATTCTTACCCTTATAGGAAACACACAACCATAAACTTCACTCCTTTAAAGAATGCAGTAAAAATGAAAGACAATAAAAAAAGAACAAATAAAATATTTATGGAGAAAATGATCACTTAGTAACAAAAATAATTTTGCCAAACTGTAAATTATATAACTAAGCAACAAATCAGAAAACAGATACCTCTTAATACCCATATCTCTGATAGCAGATGAAGGTGGACCTATGAAGATGATTCCCTCCTGCTTGCACAATTCTGCAAACTCTGTGTTTTCTGAGAGGAAACCATAACCTGGATGAACAGCCTAAAATAAAACATGGTTACCAGCCTATGGGTATAAAAGCTTAGCTTAGAAAATCCAGAAACTTCATTAGAATGCTAGAAGAAACACAAAATGGGTAAAAATGAAGAAGATTTAAGGCTGCGCTCTACTCACCTGTGCTGCTGAGGCCTTGGCCACCTGAATTATTTTCTCCATGGCCAGGTAACTCTGCTGTGAGGGTGCTGGGCCAATGCAGAATGCTTCATCTGCCTGTTATGGAGAAAAACACGACCACAGACTATCTATCAGACAGTATATAGTAAATTTAAAATGAGCACAGAAAGTGAAGTTTACTATTTTATCAATTGCTAAAATGCAACAGCTTAAATTGCTGCCTCTCTATAGGGACTATACTGGACTATATTGCTATCTTTACAGAGACTATGCAGGGTGAAACAAATTCTGACTTTCTTCCCACCACCCAAAAAAAAAGAAAAAAGAGAAAAAAAATCAGAGTCCATGACCTAGCTCCCAAAGGCTACTCTGGAGTTTAGAAAGTCAACTTTTCTGCACTTTCTGTATTGTTAACAGGCATTAAAACAGAAACTAAGCACATTTTTCACAGATTGCAGGAATTCTCAATGATAACTCCATAGAAAAAAACAACTGCATTAGTGCACACACATCATACTTCGTTTAATAAGAAAAACTACTATTGTGAATGAATGCTAATAACAAGCAAGAACTTTTAGTAAATATACCTCACCATTGCTACATGCATGGAATTTCTGTCTGCTTCACTATAAACTGCTACAGACTTCACACCCATTCTCCTTGCTGTTCGCATCACCCTGCATGCGATTTCTCCTCGGTTTGCAATCAGGATCTTCTCTATGTTGTGACTTCCTGTTTAACAGAATGAATTTTAAGTAAGCATATTCATAAATATATTCTGGGAAATGAAAACAAAATTTTACAATTCAGATTTCTGTTTTATCATTTGCAGTGTTTATTTTACATAATAAATCTTGGGAGCTATTTTCTTAGAATCACTATGCAGAAGAATGTTTAAATTAGGCTGTTTTCTTTTTTTTTCCTAGAGTTCGAGAAATAAACTTTAATCCTCAACCACCACTTAAGCATAAAACACAATGCACATATTTGAACTCTGTACTTTCTGGACTCACTGTGAGACAAAGAAATAACAGCCACACACACTCACAACCACAAAGAAATAACAATAAACAAATAACAAGGAATAAAAATATCCTCTTTTTTTAAACAGTGGCTTGTAAGTACTACATCACAGCAGTTGAATGGGACAGAAATGCAAACATAAGTGCATCACAGGCAATGACATTGCCACATTTTTATCACAGAGGGTGTCAGAGGAAAACATCACAAAAATAAGCAATTTTCATGCAAGTTCAGTATGACTAAATACGACAGAGAAAATTACTCAAAATCTTCTTTATGCATTAAAGGTGGTTTCTACGAAGTACAAGTACAAACTGCTACACTGGAAAGCCACATAAATATTAACTATTTTTGAAAAGACTCTAACTTTTCCTCGAACTAATGACCTAAAGCAATTGGAAACCCACCCACACTGCACAAGCAACTAATGCGAAAAGCTTGAGGGGGTTAAGCTTCATACCTAGCGTCGAAGCCCATTTCACAAATCTTTGTCCTGGGTTCCACTGTCTGCATGATTACAAACACACAGAATTGTTACAAAACACACTGTATCAGCAAGGTGTAAATGAACTATTTTCAAGCAAAAGACGGTGCTAACGCAGCCCTTTGGCACTGGAGACCGAAACGCCCCTATAGAGCACCGGAGGGGGGCGGGGAGCACCAATCCCCTCTGTGGGGAAGGCGGGGGGGGTCTCGGGCTGCCGGTTCCCGCCTCCCCCCGCACTCACTGAGGCCGCAGCAGCCTCAGGCAGCAGCGGCCGCGCGGCGCCACCAGCTGCAGCGCCATGTTGGCCGGCGCGACGGAAGCCGAGGGGGGCCGCGCGGCGGGGTAAGGGGGGGGCTCGCGCGCCACGCGGGATACGATTGGCTGCGGCGAGGGGGCGCGATGAGGGGCGGGGCCTCAAGGGCAACGAGCGGGGCCCTGCGGGCAAGGGGCGGGGCCTTACGTGACAAGGGGCGGGGCCGCGGAGGGAGAGGGGCGGGGGTGCGAAATGGCCGTTGGCCGCGGCCGGGGCGGTGGATGTGATACCCGCGAGTCGTTGGGCCGTGACATGGCAGAGCTAAATCCACCCGTATGATTGTGAAATGTGTTAAAAAGGAAGGCCCTCTCCACACACAAACCCCACACGGGGCGGTGTTGTCTCCCAGGGGCTGAGGTGAAATGGCGGTGGGGCCCAAAGAGGGTATTGGGGATAAGAAATGTGTCCAGCTGGGTCCCCTCACACAGCAGGGGTGAGCGCTGTTCCCCATATTCCTCAGAGAGCTCGAGCTGACAGCATGTCCTAACGTCCCTCAAGTCTGGCCAGTGACAGGCCCAGCACTTACTGTACAAATGCAATCTTTAAAACTGTTAACGGAAAACATATATTTTTCTATAACCTCACTCTTCCTTCTCAGTATCACACTAACAGCACAGACGTTCCTTTTCTCTCTCAGGCTGATTTAAAAGCATTTTGAGGCTGTTGGGCGTCTTTGCTAACACGAGATGGCAGCCTGCCCCAGAGTGGCGCTGGGGCCTTGGAAGAGCCACTCTGGGGTGTCACCAAACCCCAGCCCAGGTGCGTGAGGAGCTCACTTGTTGTCACTCCATAGCAAAATGGACAAGGTTAAGCATTACAACTTGGGCTGCGCTAATGTTTTCTTCAGAAACTTCCAGCTACAGGAAAGCCCCAGGCAAGCTGAGGTTCGAAACCAACACCCGTGTCTCTAACTGGACTTTCGCTCAGATTGAAAGCTTTGCTTTTCTGCCCACAATCATTTCTTTTGTTTCTGCGTGTGGAAAATGCAACTTACCGCTTTTAAAACTTTAAATAAAGAGTTTAATAAAAAATAAAACACTTATTAAATAACATTTAATGTTATTAAATAACTTGCAGAAAATGGGAAATGCAGGTTATTCGCTATTTTGTGGCTAGATGGGAAAGCCCTGATGCTAAAAGCGTGAGCATAGCTGTGGCCCAAAGCCTCCAAACCTCTGCACTTCTGGCATGTAACAAACCTCTTTATAAGGAAGGAAAGGACCTCCTGAAAGTTCATTACTCCCTTCACTTACAGATGTTTAAGCTGAAGTTTCTTGTTTTATATATATGCAGTTAGTTTTCATGATGTGACTAATTTTTAATCCATGCATATCTCTCACCAAATATATATGCATTCTCTATATGAAAGGGATAGCCCCTAGACCTCTTGCTCTGGTCACCCTGAGGAGGATCGTGGAGATATAAATGAATTTCGGGTCTTTCTTATCGGTGGTGGTGGAGAGGTGAGCTCAGGTTGTGCTTTGCACATTCATGTTTTCTCTGAGCCTCTTAACATCAGTTTTACTACTGAGTGTTAACTCCATAGAAATCTTTCTCCTCACAATTTCATTATTTAAACTGATTCTTGAAAAAACAAAAAAAGTGTAACAATTCCCCTCCTTTATTTTTTCCTCATTTCTCTTTATTTGTTCTGATATAAAAATATTTTTATCCCCATATTCTTCCAAAGATGAATGGAGCAAATGATATGGATCCAAATTCTGCCAGCACCACAGAGCCACATGACCAACTCACCTCCTCTGGTCATGAAATTATTTATCATGTAGAGATGTTGCACTGATACTAGAAATGGTGCTAGCAAGAAAAGCCTAGTTCTGGCATTTTATCACTGAGGGAAGTTTTTCTCAAACTGTCTTTACTGCATCCTCTGCCTTCCCACAGTCTGTAGGACAGTCTTTGCCTCTTTAATCACAAGGCATTTCACATGTTGGATTCATCCAGAGGTTTCAGACCCTTAGCTTGCGCACTGCAGAGAAGATAGTGTCCTGCTCACCACCTGCCCTCCTCTTTCCTACTCAGCTCAGCTCTTAGAAGTGTTGCAGGAGGCTACACTTAAAACTGGATCTGGCTCCAACTATTAACTAAGCAAAAATCTAGACAGATTTTTCTCAAAAATAAATAAACAAAAAAAGAACTTCTGCATGCCTGATTTTACTGAGTTTACATCACATGGTTGTACTATAGTTGAGATATTATAAGTTGCCTGATGTGCTTTCAATGTGATAAAGAGCCAAATCACATACTTTGGGGGATTCGTGTTGATCAATATTGAAGCTATAGAACTTTATATGTTCATATGGTGTTTTTTCTTTCTTGCTTCCGTAAATGCATGCTGTAAGGATGTTTTCTTTTCAAAAGACCTTGATAATAATAATTCCTAAGATTACTATCTGTGAGAGCAGTTTAAACATAAAGTCACAAACGCTCATTACATCTGCTGTGAACTATGTTCTGCATTAACTGGACTGTTGGGAAGTTAAAAGGAGAGTTAAAAAAACATAGTGAATTCAGATACTCAGGAAGTTGGGAGGAGATTAGCAGTAAACCTCATAACGATATTTTTAATGCACTTTTTTTAAATGTAGATGAAACAAAGATGAAAAAGTCAGATGATCCGCCTAAGACCGTGAGAGAAATCCTTGTCAGTTATGCTTCGAATTTAAGCATTTCTGCATTTTTGGTTTGTGTCAAGACCCACTGAAACCCTGCCTCTTTGTCACATTATACTTGTGTTTAAAACAGTAGGTAGGAAAGCACCCAAAAGCACTGCATACTTTAATGACTAAATATAGTCTTTATTATAGAAACAGCAAAATAGAAAAATAAGAGGATATCTTACAGCTCCTAAGAAAGTCTTTTTCTCCATGACTATATATTATAGTAAGCTAGAAGAAAAGAGATCAAACAAACTTATACACTCAAGAGTTCATCTAAATCTCCATTTTCCACGCAGAATTTAACAGCAGGTCTTTAATCTGATTTTTTTTTGGATCAAAGATCAACAATGGACTGATTTTTTTTTTCCTTATAAACTTAGCCATTTGACCAAGAGGATTAATATAACTTTATTATGAGATGCTCTTTCCTCTACCTCATGTGAGCAATAGACCTTATGAGTGACAGTTGCACACAGCAGGCCAGGATCTCCTGATGCAGTTAGGAGTCCTGCACAGCATCCTCTGCTCGTGTAATTCAGGAGCTCCACTAGATCCATTTTGCTTCATGTTGCTGTTGTCTCTTCAGTTTATGCCATGTGCCCTTCTTCGGTGCCATTTGGTGCAAGTCCAGAGTACCACTTGTGCAGAAAGGGTCATATGCAGCTTCAGAAAGATGGCAAACAAGAAATAGCAACGAAAAGCATAAGATCAAATTGCATAAGCCTGAAATCAAACATAGTTCAGTACCGACAATTTGATTCATCCTCGTGAGGAAAAAAAAAAAAGTGAAAAAAATACATAAACTTTGCATTATTTTTAAAAATGCCAGGGGGTTGTCATGCAATTAAAGGCAGAATTAACAGCCATTAAGAATATCTTTCTCTCCTCAGCTTGATATCAAATAATAGAAGATTGAATATTAAAGAGGGTTTTTTTTTCAGTAGGTAAAATAACAGGGAAATACTTTTATTCAATAGAAGTGGCAAACTATACAGAGCATACAGCTTGATAATCCCATGAGGATATGAAACGGAACTTGGTTGTGAATGAGAAAGATGTCTATCGATCCCTACTCAGAAGGCTGAGGGTCAGATCACGTGCTGTGTTGGGCCGTTTAGACAGCACAAAATGTTTGATATTAATGACTAATACATAGTAACTTCATTAGTATTAGTTACTAGTCTGGTTATTAATCTAGTAACCAGACAGTAACTCTTCAGCGTTATGTACATGCATTAAAATTGCATGCGTAGGCTCCTTTTTGAATGGAAGCTCTTCCATGTATTTCTTACCATTCACCTTATCTGTTAAATTGTTAAAAAAAAAAGGCGAGTGCTTTAATAGAGTCTAAGAATCTTCACTATAAACGACAGATGAATAGTATTAAAGCTCTTCATACAGTACTAAAGCTTCCTTTTTACGAATGTGTAACTTAAAAGCGACCCAAAGCTTCACTTCATCCAACAGACAGAAGCTGACATTTCACTTTCCACCAAAGGTTTCATTAGAACAACACAAGCACCAGGCTCAAAACTCCCCAGACTTTTCTGAAAGCAGATAGAAACTTGGCTCCAGCATCCAGACTTGTGGTAACCGTGTGGTTTTCATATGAGATGAACCTTAACAGGAGAATCACCCTGAGAACTACAATGAGGCAGTAAATGATAATCAGGGGGCTACATGCCCATTTCTGGGGGGAAAGGAAGAAGAGTGAAAATAAACTGGGTAAAATTCAGTAAAGTTAACACTGCTGGAGCCTTTTACAAAATAATCATTGAAATGTCAGAGAATTCGCATTGCTTCATCTGTATTACAAGTTTGAAAAGTTGGTTGTCATTCATGCTGCTCTACTTTACAAGCATATCCAGCTGCCTCTGTTGCTAACAGCTGTTTTGAGCTCTGTCTTAGGTTTTTCCAAGTGTAAAAGTCCAAATTTTCTGTACCTTATTTATGGGTTCATGCAGACTCAAAGGGGCCATTTCTGGAAAATGTTAATTACTTCCATGGCTACATCTTATAGCAATTAGGAAACAGTTTGACCAACTACTCCTATTTCCTTGACACAGACCAGAATCTGCTAATAATGCATGCAATAGAAGGATTTGGTTTTGTCTTTGATTTAAATAAGCAAATCCCAAATGGTTAAATGCAAGTAAAATATTCAAACTGCCTTTATAAATACTTAAATTTAAGTGGCAAAATAAGGACATCAGTTTTACTCAGAAAATCCAGAGTGATTCAATAGCCCTTCCTAATTGCTCCAGGCCTGTGCTGTTATTTCATGGAAATAAATGATCGTCTGGCAGTTCTATTTATTTCCACACTAAATTGGAAAACACTTCTATTTTTCTTTTGTTTAATGGTTGGGTGCTGTTCCATAATCCCTTTTCCAGGCAAACCTTTTATTTCTAGAATTTAAAACACTACCCTAACTCCTAGGAGGGAAACATGTTCTTATTTAATCATATTCTCTCATTCCCAAACGTCTTTATATTTAATTTCTTGGTTTGGGTGTGTGTGTTCATGCATGTGTGTGTTTGTGTGTGCACATTTGTGCACAAGCAAATTTGCAATTTTTCTATAGCACGAAGATTTGCCTCATTGTAATAAAGAACATTAGCTGAACATCATCTGAAAAGCAGTTACAAATTATACGCCTTCATTATTCGTTTAGCAGGAAAGAGACTACAGAGCATTACAATTACTGTGCTTTAAAGCAACTCCAAATTATTTCCATATGAAAATGTAGCTGCTCAGTAACAAACACGCTGGATAGAGCTTTGAGAGGGATCTCACTGGATTGGGAGAGATCACAGGGCTGTCATTTCAACAGAGTGACAGATGCTGCACTCAGTGACAGTCACCGTAACTTTTGCACAGACTCCATATGACTCCACATGGGTCACTGTATCCCATTTGGATACAGAGTCAATGGAAACTAGGAGGTTTTCTAAAAATACTGCCCCTGAAGTGAGAGACACATATGTCCACTGTGTCCCTCCAAGGACCTGACTAAGAAAGAACAATAACTTCTTAAATTTAACTTCTGTATATGAATGAAAATCATACTCATAGTTGTCCAAAGACATTAGCATACATAGTGCTCCCACGAGGTTTTAGCAGGGTTGTCTGTAGGTGCACATGTCTCATATACTTACCTGGAAGTCATATATTACTGGACTCATCTATTTTAGTAGGTCTGAATGCCATATTTAGGAAAATTGGTGGATTTTACAGGGGATACTCATGGTTAAGCTTGAAGCCTACCTTTAGGCATCTAACCTAGGAAGTCTGAGTTGCCTCTGTTATTGGTAATATGAGAAATTTAGGCTCCTAACTTTGGTCCTCAGAACTACATCTAAATTTGAAGCTAAGTATAGCCTAAAGTAGATGGTGCATCCTCCCCGTCCCACCTTAAGGAAATCACTCCAGAAATACCAGTTTTAAACACACAGTATCATCCCATTTAAAAATCAGGCTTCAAGGGCAGTGAGATTGGTAGGTAAATGCAAAAACTCTTGCAACTTCTCTACTTGCTGCACACATTTGGAAGTGCAAAGGCAACTCAGATGCGTTCATATCCTCTAGTAGGCTTTCTTCTGGAAATCACAAATGTGACGAGCACAATGACAAATAATCCCAAGATACTGAGGCCCACTGCAGTGGGAACTACTTTGCTGTTTCTGTCAAGATAACATTCTTCCTCTGCAAGAAAAAGGAGATGAGAGAATGTGTTAGAGCAGAACGCTGTTCTTCTAGACTATTCATTCATATTCTAGACAAGTTAGCAAACACAAACCAGAAGGGCTCAAAATGCTTCTTTTTCCTGGACTGCTTAGTATGTTTTTACCTGTGGTGAATCCTATCTCAAGAAAACAATGCTTGCCTCTTGGCAAATAGCTACATGCTTCACTAGAGAATTTCTCTGCTCTGTCATGTCCACAGGCAACTGTTTTTCCATCAGCATCTCTACTTACACAGCAGGAGGCTTTTTGGCTCAAGGCAGATGTGGAGCATCACACTACAAAGTACAAGTCTAAATATTAACAAGAAACATCCTGCATGGACAAACATGCTGCTGGATGGTATCTGATCGCTTCTGTGTGATAAAAAGGATCAGGCCAGAGAGGGAGCCCATAACTTAGCATATCATTAGCACAGCAAGGTTCATAGTTAAGCCAGTATTTCCTATGAAAAATCAAGTTCCAAATCCTCTGCATGTTTAATTCAGAATATATGTGGATAACTGTTGCTGATTTGGAACACTAAGAGCTTTGGAAAACAGAGGCCTTGGGCTCAGTCCGGGGCATTGATATAATAGTATTCTTGTGATTATATCCTCACTTCCTTGGCCAGTCCCTAACCAAACCATTCTTTAAATCATCTTCTAACTAGTTATCAGCTCATGAATTTAGAAAAGAACTTCCAGATTCAGTTAAACAGGTGCCTTGCCTATGGAAGGAGGATACCGTTTGGATCACTGACGTAAGTGGAATATTTAGCCAGGCAGCAATGGCAGGAACAGTCTTACGTTCACAGTGTAGCTTGGGAATGAGGGCAAGGTCTCTGAATATGTTATTCCAGAACGGGTTCAGACCTACCTCCGCCATCTGGTTTATAGGAAACCAGGACATAGGAATGTCCAGGAATTTCCTTGGGCTACAGGGAATGATGTCTAACATGATGTTTTGAGTGGCATCTTGGTAGGGTAACCCAAATCCCAACATATTCAAGGTGAGCAGTGAGCTGGGATGAGATTTCAGATTGGTAAAAGTAAGGTATTATTAAAGAAATGAGCTGAAAAATATTTGCGCTTGAATCCTGCAAAAGCTGGAAGTGCTTGAATTGTCAGTTTTGCTTTAATGTAACCACGGGCTATCAGCGCTGGCAACTGGCTCTTATGTTGATTATTATTATTATTATTATTATTATTGATTATTATGTTATGATTGCAAGAAGACACTTTTGCAGCTTTCCAGGCTCTAACAGGCCATTCCTTCCTGATGCAATTCTCCTGAAGTCTATACAAGAGTGTAAGGAACATGAAACCAATGGTCACTGTTTTTTTCTTTTTTGTTCCCCTTTTAAAGATAAGCAAATTTGGCTCAACAGAAGTGAAACTATGCCTCAAGAAACGTTTGGGGGGTAGGCCAGCAATGTGCTTATTTTACAGAATAATTCCTTCAGTGGGGATTTTGTCTTTCAAAATCTGCATATGCAACAGATATGCGTAACACTTTCATAACTGCTTCATGGCCACTGGGGAATTGCTGCTGTAAATGCTTTCTCAGGCTTTTGATTAAGAGCAAAACTTAATTTAATTTTGGATGTGGTATCAATTAGCAGACACTAGCCTGACCTTGAAGAGAGAGACTGCCTTCCTAAGCTCTGTCTCTGCCAGAGGTGAGGCCACAACAAAACTAATTCTGAACCACGGGAGCATGCTGATCATGCTCCTCCTTAGGAGTGCACTTTATCATGCCTAGACCCAGCTGCTTTGCAAGGATTCACAAGTAGTCCTTATTAACTGGCAACTTTGCTGCTAAAGCTGTGGGATGTTGTGGTTATCAAGAAATTTTAAGATAGCTGAGATCTGACGACACTGAGAACAGAGACCTTGAGCTGAGCTGGATGTATTAGATGTCAGAGGAAGCCAGTGCAACGGTGGGGAACACACCTGCCCACAAGAAAACAGCAGGGAGGAAGAAAATGGTGCCAAGTAGGGCTTGCCTGAGGCCCCAGAGAGCTGACATGTAGATCTCAGAAGGGTGGGCAGGACATCCTTCCTACTTACCTCTTCCAAACTGGTTCCCGACAATATTGAAGGCCTGCAGCTGCATGTTAACAGTGAGCAGCTGGAAGCTCTTCTCCAAGCTGAAGACTTGCTTGCTGGCACATTTGAAGGAATTCCCCAGCTTGGTTGTAAACATCTGCTCCTGTATGGCTGCGTAGTAGAGCATACCTGGAGGCCATAAAGCAGGGATGGTAACAAACAGGAAGCCCCTCTAACTCTGTTGAAATCAAAATATTTCTGAGGCAAAACAGAAAATGTGTGTGTTTTGTCAGAGCAGCAGTAATAGCTGTAGCTAAAGCACAGACAGTTTTCCCCATAATGTATCAGTTACATTTCTCCCCTGTAAAAATAATTGTTTTAATTACTGAGGAGTAAGTTGGCAAAGATTAAAGATTGAGTCTGAAATAATGGGAAAAAAGGCAAGGTGCTTCTTCAAATTGCATTTTAACAGCCTGAATCAGCAAGGGAGGGTTAGGTTTCTCCCAAGAACAGACACTTAGGGTTCCATCACTGCTAACTCTAGCCAAAAGAGAGGATTGACATGTCATGGGAATTTCACATTTCTGGTCCTTGTTATTTTATGTATTAAATATGTATTTAAGCATATATCAGTGTCACAGAATTTTATGAAAAACTTGGCTCAAATTTTGTTTCTGTCAGTAGAAGAGAGCTGAAGCATGGCAAGATTGTGTAGCCTGGACCTTGGACACATTGCCTCCCTTGAAAGTGGGATGCACGGCATGTTGAAAGCTTGATAAAATAACAAAATTTGCAAAATTCAATCTTTTAATATATGAATGCCTCTCAGAGTGAAACAGTCTGTAGAACACTGGAAGTAAGAGAAAGAAATCTCATAATAAGAATAGGCTGATATGCAATGTACACTGTGAATGTAAAATCACTGACCTTCAGACTGTAAGCTGGCCTCGATTACACTGACATAGTAGGTTCGTGTTTTCTGCAAAAGAAGGTTTATCTTTATTCCTTCTTCATCCTTGTATTTGTGAAAAGACAGTTCACCACAGCAAAATGGTCACAAAGAGCTTCACAGAAGAATTGCTGTTTGCAGTATCACCTTTGAGAAGCAGCTTTGAAATGAATTGCTTTTTTCCCCTTTTTTTAAACCATTCCATCTACCAGGTTTACGTCGCTTCATCTAACATCTTATAGCTGGTAAAATGCAGCCATAGTGTGTCCATCACAGCTCTGTTTAACTGCACTGCGCAGTTGGTGATATCTGGAGTATTTCTGTGATATCTGCACTAACCTAAAGTAGAAGGGAGCTAAGCAAATATTAGAATGTTATACCTTGCACAAATTAACTGGTATGTGATAACGGCATTTTATTTTTAATGACCTGTCTGCTATGAAAGTTCCTATAGTGCTCCCTTAGTGAGTTTGCAGTGAATTTATCAGTGCTCACCTGCTTGCAGAACCTAACTGATGCCCTTAGAAGTACTTAGGGCTCTCTGCAGAGCAGTGCAGCTTATGCCTGGGCACTCTTCACGTGAGCAACATCTGTATGTCAGCAACTGCAGCAAGCAGCAGGGATCTGGCCTCTTCTTCACAGATTATCATTATTTGGAGCTAGGAGATGTCAGCAGCAAGCTGAGAGCTCCTCTCTCCATGCTGATACTGCTCGTTTTCTGTATTGTCAATACAAGTGAGGCCTCAGCAACCTGGCTGTCTCTGTACAGGGGAGAAATGCTCCACACTGCTGACACCAACAGTGCTGGCCCAGTTTCATGTGCCCATAGACTGCTGACTTGGAAAACACCTGCTATAACAGCAGCACTGAGCAAAATTTCCAGTTTCTTGCCTGAATATGCTGTAAACCCTCACACGATCTGACTGGCACAAAGGGAGAGACAACAGGGCTTTTCCAGGCAGCAAAGTTGGAGTTATAAGGTGAGCTTTGAGGTAGCAGCCCACCTATTAATTCTGATCCTCGTTGTGAGCACACAGGATTGATGAGCGTAGTTAGTGGATAGGTAACGGTTCGTGTGAATATCTCTTTTATGTCCATTTTTAATATCATGTAGGAGAGTTTTAAATTTGGTGGATTTGATTGGGCTGGATAGAAAACCTGTAAAATACTAGCTCAAAGAGAAGAAAGAAGAAATACACCAGAAAAGAAGTCTCAGGACTCTCCTTAGTTGAATAGGTCAAATACCACCAATTTTTGGCATTTTGGACACAGTTAATGACTTCACTTGGGGAAAACACCAGTTCCTACTTCACAGCCTGAGGGCTGGTTACAGAACGTCCTCTTTTCAGGTCCCTGGCACAAGGTTCCTGGAAGGGAGCTGGCTGAACCAAGGGCTCATCCCCAGCACCTGCCCTGGGGCTTCATCCAGCTCTGCTTTCCCTCACACAAATGAGAAGTGTCAACGCTGCAGTTAATTGAGCACCCTGCTTCAAAGCCCACGGTGCAGAAGTCAGAGAGGCTGCAAGGACTAAACACATCAGGAACGGCAGCAAACAGATTTCTTATTAACTTGTAATTTGAAGAACTCTTAAGCCAGGCCCTGATGTTCTCATGAGGCTTATCTTTAAGTGGAGGGTGGATTGTCTAATGCTGTGCCAAGAGGCACCTTTTTCAGGGCAAGGGAGATCAAGGACCTCCTAAAGCTTCCTATTGCTCTCCTTACCACTGCTTATATCACCAGAATTTTTTCTAAGTATCCTTATAGCAAAAAATGCTACTCTTGTGAGCAGCCTACCTTTAAAGCAAACCCAGTTTGAAACAATCATTTCTTTGTTCTAATAACCCCTTGATTTTTTGCCTCTTTTCCTCTGTGGCTTTGAGAAATCTTTCTGCCATAAACTGCAAATGAGATGGAAATCTATTATCTGCTTAAGCATTAATAAACCGAAAATTCAGGTGAGCTATAATTTGCTGTTGCCTCTAGGACTTGCTATGGATGTAGGTCAAATGGTGCTATCTGAGCGCCTCGTGAACTGTGAACTAACCACTCGTAGTTTCCCCAATTATCCCTAATTTGGTTTCAGCTTGCCATGCCATGATCAGTGGGGGAAACACAGGGGTTTCCTCTTCTGGAAGAACTTGGAACCAGGCTCTAAAATTACTTGTTTAAAATTAACTTGATCAAGTTAAAATTACCATTTTAACTTGATTAACTGAAAGACATGGATCAGCAGTGGCCTTCAGTTGTGTTACACTCTGTCAGAGCTCGATGGGACTGAGCATTGTCCTGTTGCTCCCACCCTTAACTCTGTATTATTATATTATAATATTGCAATATTATGAGATACTATAAGCCCACAGTGGTTTCTTAAAGTCTAGTCCACATGCATTGCAGTCTCAGCAAGGAACGTGGTGTCAATAAGCCCAACATCAAAACTAAAAATCCTTTGCCCACTCTGAAAGCACAAACCTCTTTCTGGCTCAAGTTTCTCTGTGTATTTATGAGTCTCCCTGCTCCGGTGCATTTTAAGGATATTTACCCTCACTTTTGCTGTTATTTGCAAACTGTTTGAGTTTTCCCACTCTGATGTTAGGCAAACCGCTTCCCTTGGCAGTGAATGGGCTCCTAAGCACTTCCACCTGCATGGATGGTCCTTCGGGTTTAACAACTACCTCTGTTTTTCATCTGGGCAGAACTGTGTGACCTGGTATCTGTGGGGAGCAAATGACTAAGTGCATGTTCATTCGGGCAGTCCCTGGGACACAATTTCATAAGATTTCATAAGAGCAACTTGAGAGCGTGAGTCAGAGTGAGTGAGAACTGCCGGCACAAACACCTTGCTCCTGAGCAGCTGCTCCAGGCTGCCAAATTCCCTCGCTCTATCCCACCCCAATCCAAATGGCAGACCTGGCCTTACCTCCCACTCCATCTTTACCTATGTAAAAATGAGATCCACTTTATTTATTTTTTTCCCAGGGAGGCTATTTATAGACTTTGTGTATCTTAATTGCTAGCTGTAAATCTGCTCTTCCTTAGCACTTTCTGTCAAAGGATGTAAGAACCTTTCAAAATTTGCCATTCAGTAAACAAAATCTGATTTAGCTTTGAAGCTGGTCCTGCTTTGAGCAGGTATTGGACCAAAAAACCTCCACAAGTCTCTCACCACCTAAAATAATCCATGGTGCTATGAATTTAATTCTCTGGAAAAGGTAGGAGCAATAATACCTCATATCTATGTGGAAAACTATCGAAGAGATAGATGAAGTGGCTTTTCCTGCAGCCATTCATGCCAGGAATATATCAGAAGCAGCCTCAGTTCCAGCTCCCCAAATCTAAATATTCCTTTCCTCTAAATGCACCAATTACCTTCACAAAGACAAAGTTTATAAAGCCACCACTGAAAGTTATGTTCAGAGCAGACTGCAGCGTCCCACAGCTTCCAGATATTTGTGTCTTGTTGGGATTGATGTTCGTGTACTCCGTCTGCTTCTGTGGAGGGAAAAAGACATTATGGAGAGGAGGGAGGAAAGATCAGTTAGAAACACATAGACATTAATAGCTTTGTCCCTGTGAGATTCCCAAAATAGGGGTGAGATTGGGAATAATGTTCTCTGCCTGATGTTGGGCAGTGGGAGGAATGTGAATTGCTTCCATCAACATTAGATACTCAACCCATTTAAGAAATATTCGGGCTCCAGGCAAGAACGTTTGGGTTTGAAATGGGGATGGCTCAAGAGGTATCTCAGCTATGCTGTTAAACAAAAAAAGCCCCCGTATGTCCCACTGCCATCATTACAAGTCAAACTCCAGCAGCTGAGATTTTGTGGTATAGAAAAGGCCTGAGACGGGTAGAAAGAAGTTTTTTTTTTTTATGGTACAAGCTAACTCCTGGAAATTGCTTTAAAAGGAGTAGAATAAACACCAGCTAATGAAAAAAAAACCAGCTATTTTAAGGTTTGTAGTGTTGTCTTCTTACCTTCTGGATATTTTGAGCTATCAGCTGCAAACCCATCACTGCTCTGATGCAGGTCGTGCTTCCATTACGAACAGTGTAGGTACCCGTGGGGATGGGAGAAGGCTGAGGGGCGAGAGTGGGTCTCACTGTTGTTGTAGTAGGTGGGATGGTTGTTTGGTTCCTTGTGTGAACAGTTGTTGTGTTGGCCACGGCCGTGGTTGTTGCTGTCGTTTGATTAGTTGACCCTTGGGTGGTCTTTACTGTAGTCTTTTTGGCGGTTGTAATAGATATGACAACGGCTGTTTGGTTGTTTGTCTGTGTAGGCTTTCCAGTTGTGTTGGTAGCTACACCAGTCGTTTCTGTGCTGTCATTTGTCACAGCTTGAGTGGTTGTGCACATAAGGTGTACAGTTCTGTTGGTCGTTCCTCCTGCATCCCCTCCTCCTGCACCATTTGAAGAGGAACCAGCTGCCCCTGCTGCAGTTGTGGTTGGCACCGTCGGAGTTGTCTCCTCACCTGCTTGTGTGGTGGTTGCTGCTGCCTGGGCGGTTGTGTGAGTGGGTTGTGCTGTGGCTGGAGACTCGCTGGCTGTCTGCACAGTTGGGCTATGGCTTATGGGTGTCGTTTTAAGAGAGCCTGTGCTGTTAAAATGAAGCGTGGTGTCTCCACGGGTTGAAGAACCATGAAGGGAAGGGAGCTGAGCAGAAGTAGCTGTCTGTTTGAAGGATGTGGTTAGTGAAGACATTTTGACACCCTGGGTCACTTCAGCACAGCAAGAGGAAAACGCTGTAAAGAAACAGGCATGTCAGTAGTCTGATAACCTTCACTGTCCAAAATTTCTGCTGAAAATAACCACAGGGATTTTGCTGTCAGGTCACACAGGAGCGATCCTGCAGATGTGCCGCAGGATGGGCCCCGACGTTTCCCTGCTCCCTGATCTCCGCACGTCCGGGCGCGCAGCCCCATGGCCGCACGTTGGCTCCTGGCTCCCAGTGCTGCTTTTCCTGGGAACCATGAGATCAAATTCCATGAGATCAAATCAGTGAGGGCTGACGGAGGGGCAGCGTGAGCCTGGGTGTAACCCATGAAGGGGTGGTTGACTCCTTAGCATGGGGAAAGGAAACATTCCTAGTATGTGAGAGAAGGGAGGTAACGCAAGGGCCATGTGGTGGTTCAGAACAGTCTGGGAGAGCGGGAGATTCCGGGTTTTATCAATGGGGAAGTCACAGCCACAGCAGCTTGAGCGCTCAGTGCTTCCCTCCAGGAGATACCCCAAGGGGCGCTCCAAAGCGGGAAGCACCAGGCCTCCCCATGACACTCGCTCAGAAAGAGAAACGAATTTCAGGGTGCAACATTCAGTAGCTTTTTGGACCACATCTGAAAATAGCCCTTCCATCTTGTAGCATTTACAGAAGTGGGTCCCTTTGCAGAACTGGGGGCAAAAGAAAATACTTGGCTCCTAAATGTTAATAACAGTGAAAAAGAAAAAACTTGAAAACCTACATTGTAAAATAAATAAAAGTCACAGCTCTTTCACATGTCTTAGACTGTGAATATGTAACAAGATCCTGTGAAAACAAAGTCAAGCTAAAAGAAATCATAAATCACTAACATACATAGGTTCCTTGATGTGCATGAAGCTTAAGATGCAGTTAAGTGTTTCAGTGCCTAGATTTGCTGGAGAACAGAAATGAATTCTCAACTTTGGAGGCAGAAGGGATCCAAAAGCCCAGGATGATTTACATACCTAGAATGGCTTCACAGCTGTTCAACTTACTGGCTGCAAAGTTCTGTTTTTTTCTAAGCTGGTTCTCTCAAGGAAGTTCTTCAGGAATCAATAGCAATGTTTTGGGACAGGCAGGTTGCCAAGATTCAGATTTCAGGATGAACTGAGGCAAACAGAGTGGATAGGGCCGGAATCTCACAGGTTTATATTCTTTTCGTTTAATTAATTATTTTTGCTCAGCATAAACAAAAATCTGCACTCAAGAGAAAAAAAAATCTGAACTCAACAAAAGTTGAGTTCACAGGATGTCTCCATTTCTGGATGCATATTTACTAAATCAGAATAAGACCTGATTGCTTTTGAATTTAATTCACAATAAAAACCAAAGGAGTGAGAAGCGATGTATGGAATTGAACACACAGCACAATTATCCCTCAAAGCTCGTGTGCTAGAGAAGTGCAGAAAGGGGGATGTACACTCCATATTCCTCAATTTGCTTGTTTTTCATCTCTGTTTGGGCGTGTAACACCCGAGCCTCCAAGGAGGGAACTAGGACAGGCCAGACCTGGGCAGCAATCGGGAGCGGGAAGCATCAACGCTCAGTACCCCAATTTGCTCCCAGGAGCTGCTGAGAGAATTAACCTCTTGCTGGGGATTTTCTTACCCCTTTTGGCATCTAACTCACAGGGCTGCACAGTCTGGTGCTCAGTTCTGCTTTATGCTGCACAGAGGAAATACCCAGGTTTATTTTTCGGTTGCCGTTTTGTTATGGTGACATAAAAACCTGCCCCGTCTCCTATGAGCCGTGGGGAAATTCTCACCAACTCTGGCTGCTGGGGCTCTAAGAGATTTTTGACCTGAGATGGAGCCCCCAGGCACAGGAATTGTTTCTTAGCCCTTGAACTCTCAATATTTGTAATTCCCCACCTGCACAGAAGGACTTTACTTGGTGGCTTTAACAAAATATTACAATCAATTACTAAAGAATGGATGAAAAAAAAAGAATGGAGAAATGGATAAAAGAATGGACGAAAAGACAAGGGAACAAGTTTCTCCTGGCCAAAGGCACCCTTTAGACCACTCAGTGGTCACCCTTGCTGACCACTGAATTATTAATGTTGTTACTGTTATGTTTCCCAGCCCAGTCCCCGCGCCGTTTCCCTGCTCAATGCCCTCCTCACCATGTAGATTTTGTACTGCTACAGGTGCTAAGGGGTGACTTAACATGTCAGGATCCATCCATAACCACGTTGGCTGCACAGATTGCCCCCGAGCCACCCTAAGCATCTGAGGGTGACTTTGATGTGGGTGGCCTTTGAGATAAGTCCTGGTTGTTCCAGCCTTGCCCAAGCCCCAAGCCACGTTCTTGCTTTCCTCACCATGCTCTGCATCAAACAAAGCCCTGACTCGGGTGCTTTTTCTTTAGTTTTCCTTCTGCCTGTCTCCCTTGAGATTCCAGTTGGTTCTGCTGGTCTGGAAATTATTTTTAGAAACACAAAACCGAAAAAGTTTGCTTCCAATACAATTTAGGGTTGCTTTCAATGCAATTTTGAGCTACTTCCAATACAATTTCAAGCTACTTCCAATACAATTTAGAGCTGCTTCCACCTCACAAGCAGAGTTCAGCTCAGTGAGCACACAGATAAGGAAAAACATCAGATCAAGCCTACAGCAGCTGTAATTAAATATATATCTGTATTTATATTTGCATTTTGCTTCTTATCAGGGGGGCCCCCATTGAAAGCACCCTTCACCACCACCACCAGAACTGCCTCTCAGGTTGCCCCCATCCTGGTGGCCTCGTCTCCCGAGCACCCAGAACAACCCCAGGCACCACCCGTCCCCCTTGCTGGAGAGCGCGACTCACCGCAGGCCAGGGTGAGCAGGACGCAGCGCCCGGCGCCCATGGTCGGCGCCGCGGAGGCCTCAGCACTGCCGCTCCTCGCTGCGCGGCCGCGTGCGACGCGGCCCGGCCATCGCGGGGCTGCCGTCACGGGGGCGGGAAGGAGGTGGAGAGAGCGGCCCGGGTGGCTGCGTCTCCTCCGCGAGCTACCGCAGAAAGGAAAAATGATGGTTAGAAAGGAAAGTGAAAATGGAAGGGGCTGGCGTGGGTGTGGAGGTGCTGCCGCAGGCCGCGTGCTCCTCGGCCTCGCTGGGGTGACTTGCAGCTGTAGCCCCATGTGGGGTTGAGACCTGGGAATCTCTGCTGCTCCCAAGGCTGGTTACAAGGTTTGTCTTGTTAAATAAAATCCTGTATTTACATAAAGTGGGGAGACGGGGACTGTGCTCTGTCTGCCTCCACAAGCAGAGCACAGCCCCAGGAAAACTCCGGCCCCGGGGGCTGCCAGCGCTGGCTCATCCAGCCCCTGGCTCATCCAGCCCCTCTCCAGGACGGAGTTTGCTCAGGATGGGTCAGCCAAGATGGCTGGACGTCAGCATCGCCCAAACCCTCTCAGGCAAACAGCAACCAGCCACTTGTGCCCCTTGAAACCAGGGCTGGACAGGAGTGCGGTCACAGCGGCACCCAGCGCCCGCCCGCTCGCTCTAGCGGGAGTCAGAGCGAAAGCTGCGGTTCGCAGCAGCACAGCCTCCTTCCCGCAGCGTGCGAGCTGGTTTTCCCACTCTTTGTAAGAACTAGGAATGGTCCCAGAGCTTTCCAGACAGTTGGGAGCAAAGTCAATACCAGAAAGTGCAAAGCAGAGCAAAACTCCTTGGCAGGAGGGCCTCTTGCCCGGGGGCTGCAGCACCAGCGCACCCAGTGCTGAACTGCCTTGGGGGGTGAAGCTTTGTGCTCATCTAAGAGTCCCAAGGATCCAGGAACAGAACCAGGGGAAAGGGGAAAAAAAGCACTTGGTGTCTTTGTGATATGGGTGGTGAAAATCAACATGTTGGGGCAGAAGCGTGGATTTTTTTTCAGCTGTGCTGATGGGGCCTTACTGACACTTGCCTGTTTGGAACAGAAAGAAAGATGACGACGGCTTGTTTCAGGCAGGAAAGCAAAAAACACTGCGGTTGATTTTTTTTTCTATTTGTAATTTTTATAAATCTCAAACAAAGTGTGGTTCTACATAGTTCAGAATGGTCTAGTTACAGAAAGTTCATTTTCACACTTTTTTTTCCTGTAATAAAGTCATACATTCTGTCTTGACTGGAAAAAAAAAAGAAGACAGGTAATTCCCCAAGAGAACTCTGTGCTTTTTCCCTGTCTGATTATCTCTCATCAGTCACAATATACAAATACATCATCATCATCAACACCATGGAAAATATGCAAGAATAACAAACTGTACCAATTCTCCGTTGGGAAGAAAAAAAAAAAAAGCAGCTATTTCAGCTCCAGCTGCAAGAAGTATACACAATTTGGCTTTTTTTCTCTTATTTATAAATATTTCTAATCATATATTTCCTATCAGGTCAGGCTTTGAACATTTTGGAAAGGAAGCACATGACCTTTCTCACATCCAATCCTGTTTGAAATTGCAGAGTCTAAGAAAAGGATGGATAATAAAATGGCTTTTCATCACACACACCACTGGAATATAAGACACTCGCAGCTTTGCTGTCACCCTCAGGAGAAGCCAGTGTTCGGACATGCTCTGGCCATAGCCATTTGTGACTGAGGTGAAGACCATTGGTCCGGTTCTCCCCTCAGCGGGGCTAGACTGAAAGCAGCAGAGGGCCAGGCCTGGTTGCATTTTGGCCTGGTTTACTAAATAGCGAGACTTACGTGTCATGGTGACCACATTTGACATTGCCTCCAATAATGGAGGAGTCTGTTGGCCAAAGGCAGCTGAGGAGCACAAAGGAGATCCAAGTCAGAACCTTCTCCTGGAGGGCAGGTCCAGACCGGATCCAGAGAGAGCAGCGGACACAGAGCAACAGCCAGGGTGCAGTGCTGACCCAGGCTGCTACAGCATAGCTGGGCTTTAGGCCCGGTTCCTTAGACCTTGTCCCTCTACAGCTAAAATTTATTGGCAACCATTACTTTTAAACACCTTTATGGGCTTTATATCCTCTCCAAAGAGCACTGAAGTGAAAGCCATACTTGGACACTTATGTTTTCTGGACCATTAACCCGAAAATGATCGTGTCAAAGATCTAGATACAGAAGTATACCTTAATGTACATGACAGTCTTGCTGGACATCAACCAAATCATATTCTAGACTTTACATGGAGAGCTAGTGGCTTAATCACCGCTTTTCTTGTAGAGAGAAACCCATTAAAAGATTATCCTACCTATTAGAAAGGGTCATCAAGCCCCATTTTGCCAGGCCTGTAAAGCCAGAAGATGGTTCTTGTTGGGTGCTCTTGGACTTGTCAGCAGCCTGATCTTGGGCTCTGGTACAGTAGGAAGGTCAAAGATGTGACTAGCAGATGAGCCCACCCTGAGCGACCAGCCCCCAAAGCCAGCGACACCCACGTGCTGCATCTCCACTGCCCACAGCCACGGGGAAGCCAGGTACTCACCATCCTCAGTACATTCATGGTGCAGGTAGCCCCAGGCTTTGGTCCACAAGGATGGAACGTGAGAATTTGCATAAAATTTCAGATATTCATTTCAAAAACAAAGTAGGGAGGAGAATTAGTTATAATCCCGCCCATACCTTTGCTGTTGTCATGATGGGTTAGGAGAGAGGAGAAGCTGCTGCAGCTGCCCCCTTCCCCAGCACATCTCCAGAGCACCCCACAGATGCCACCACTAGCGCTCCCTGCACCCTGCACACAGCAGAGGCAGAAAGAGAACTCACCATATTCACTATCCCCTCGGAGTCTGATCAAAGAGAGGCTTGCACTGCGTTCATCATTAGAATGAAATTCCTCCGGAGAAACTCCAAAGTGCAGATTTGGGTCTTTCCATAAGCCAGCAAGGTGACAAATCCTAGTTTTGGCAGTTTCATATATCCTGGGTATCCTTTTCCCACCACTCACACGCTCACGCACACAAACACAAACATACTACATATATTAATGTGCAATCAAAGCTCCCTGTCCCTTGTCCCTCCTGTGCTCAGCGCAGGGGGGACAGGAGCACCGTTATGAGACCGTGCAAAAATTGCTGACATCAATAGAGGAACCAAAATGAAGTCATTTTATGAAGAGAACAAAACGATTGCACTGCAAGAAAATGTGACTGCACATTTCCTTGGGGGACTGGAAGGACTCTTCCCTTGAGGTGCTCCCATAATTGCAGTAACCCTTAACGCGTGTCAGGTTCCTGAGAGCCAAGGTGTCATTTTTGGGTAAATAACAAGGACAAGATGGACAAGCTCTTTCCTCTGCAGGACAAGATTAACTTCCAGGATTCTCAGATGCTTTTGTCATGAACAGAAAGCATCTGAAATCATGGAGATTAGATATTATTTAAGGGTTAGAAGAACTTTACTCATGAGAATTAACCATTCTAGCCCCACCACAGTGCAAAGAAAAACATTCAGGTCCCTGCACAGAGGGTAACAGAAACGTTACAGGCTCCTGCTATTTCACTCAGATGCTCAATTACTAAAGTGTTTTTTTTTTTTGGTTTTGCTTCATCTCTGTTTTTAGTGCTTTTGCCACATTTATTATTTACATATAGCATTACTAGCCTCAAGGTTAAACAAAAGGTCTCTAATAGGGAAAAATAACCACTGACTCTTGAATTTCTAGGCTCCTGGCTGATATTTACCTATTTGCAATCCTTGGTCAATATTTATCTTTGCTAAAGTACTAGCAGCTTTTGTGGGACTGAAACCCCACTTACCATCAAAATGCTTTCATGCCTTCAGAACTGCTCCAAACGAGCTAATGGCTTATATAGGAATAATAACATCTGTAACCACTTTATATTATATATTACATCCTTAAGTGGCAGAGATTTGGTACAGTCCTTGAATCAAATGTCCTGGAAAAAAAAAGTATTTAACAACAACACTTTATCCACTCACTGGAGCATCTAATGCTCACTGCCTATTTGTAATGCTTAAGTATATTCCTTAAAGGGGATGAAATGTATCTACTCCATAGCCAGCACACAGTGAAAGCATGCAGTCTACTCCAACATATGACATTAAATGGCATTCAATGAATTTCTCAGCACCAAATGTGAAGGAATCTGATCCAGCAACCACAGACTGCAGAGAGGAGCGGAGGAATGACTTATATTGTAAAAAGAGTTCCAAGTATTCTTTGTCACAGTAGCTGTCACACTCTTCCCTGCTAAGCCCTGCACCTCCACCTCATAGCTGGGACTTGCCCCTTGCATCATCCCAAGACAACGCTGTGGGCAACGGGTTGTTCACTGTGCCATTTTTAAACTAGTCACGTTATCACTGCTTGAAGCCTCTCTGAGGGTCCAAGTCATTGGACCAAGTCTTCGTTCCACAACCACCTTAGAATGTGATGGTTTTGGTGTTGACCATCAGCACGAAGGGCACATTTGTGACGCATCCACTGGAATTAAGGAGGGTGGCGAAGGCACAGCCACTGAGGCAAGCAAATGGAAAAGCCTCCAGGCGACCCCATGGTAGAGCAAGAACTTGCAACCCTACGTATGTCCCTCTGCAGTAACTTGGTGTTTAAGCAAAGTTGCCAATAGGTGCGTGCATAGTAACTCTTCAGCTCTACTGTTGACCTAATTTAGGCCACATCTTCTGAAACAGTTTGATAAACAATGCAAGAAGCATTTTTTTCCTATAATACTGAAGGTGGCTTTTGATGCTCTCTGGATGTTTGATGCTCCTTTTGAGATCTTTTTTCCCCGTTTGCCAGCTGGAGGCCACAGTTCTCATGCTGATGAAGTTGTAGTGGATTGTGAAGCTCAGAGCTTGTGAGAAAGGCAACTTTGATCCAGTGTCCACCCAAAACAGAGATGGATGGAGTCCTGAGGAAGGGTGATCCTGCAGCTCAGCTGCCGGCCCTCTGTTCTGCTGGTAAGCTCCTGGCCACCTCGCTCTCCTTGGTTTCTGACTCTACTGAGGCCATGCTGCAGGAGTCATGGTACATATCTGAAAAAGGAGGACATGGGCACTGTCACTACGACACATCTAAAGCATTTTCCATCTACAGTCTTGAGGTTTCTTAATAGAAGCTTGAGGCAAATAAAAGAAAGAAAATAAGCAATCACAGTTCTACCAGTTTTCTTCATAAAAGGCAAGGGAGATTCTCTGGGCAATAGCTAGCTGTCACGTATGCGGATTTCTTTTCCTTTAAAACCATAAAATACTGGTAGCTCTCCATTGTGGTCTCCAGGGAATGTGCCAAGCTTTTCTTTCTTCTGACCAAGAGAAAACCAGGGTACATTTTGGTCAATTATGTTTAAGGTCAATTATGTTTTAGTATATATATAATAAATAGTTAAATCATTTGATCTGAAGAGTTGCTGAGATTCAACTCTTCTGATGCAAAATGTTGGGACTGGGCTTTAGACCTGAACAAAAGGAGGGCACAGGGAGACTTCTAGTTTCACTGGGATCTCCTCAGAACTTGCTCTCCCTCCAACCTTTGGAGCCAGTAGTGGAAATAAAATAAAAGTATTAATGGCTTGTGGTGCTAATGTTTTCAAAGCTAGACGAGAGTCATGGTCCTGACGCCTTTCTAAATCCAAGTACCATCTGCATTATGATGACAGCAGTTACTGCACCCCCTGTAAGCACTGGACTAGCTGTAAAGTAGCCAGCCCAGGTCCTGGTAGTGGCAACAGTTTAGTGGGAGATGCAAATTCTGCCTGAAAAGGGCAAGTCAGGGAGACTGAGCCAAGACCAAGCTGTGGTGCCTGGCTAGCTCCGACACCCAAGGTGACAAATTCCAGGCTAGCTCAGCTAGAAGAGCAAATAAAAAAAAAAAAAAAAAAAAGAAAATAGGACAAGGGGAAGCAGTTTCAAATACCAGTAAGACACTGCTGCTATTACCTGCATTGCTGTTCTTAATTATGTTGTTACTGTCCCCCTCTGCTGGCTGCAATATACTGGAGGGAACCCACTCGCTCTTCTCGGAAACCAGTTTCTTCACTAACCTGAAACGCAGAGAACAGTCGGTGCGTTTTCCTCCATTCCCTTGCCATGGACTGCAGTAAATAGCACCCAAAGGGATGGGAGATCACCTCCCACCCCGGGGCTTGCTCCCACCTCAGCTGCACCTCTCTGAGCGGGACCCATGGAGTTGGGCTGGAAGGGTCCTGCAAGGAGATCGGAGTCTCTTCTGCCAAATTTCTGCTCAGCAACACTGATAAAGCGCTGCTCAACAAGGGATGATAAATATGCTGTAAGGCACGTGAGCTCGAGGGGACAGATTCATTCCACTTTGTCAGTCGCCTCCGAGTATAGCCTTACATTTAAGCCTTTGGGGCTAAATATAAGGGGCCCCCTTATATTTATCCCCTTAAATATCTGGGGCTTGCTAGCACAGCTCTGCTGAAGGCATGAGGGGGTTACTGATGATGGGAGCAGGCTGCCTTTGAGAGTTTTCATGCTGGGAGGTGTCAGTAGCCCCAGTATTCCCGTTTCCCTTCATGCAAACTTCTGTCCTCTGGAGCTCATGCCACAAGCGCTTTGGGAATGCTTTTACATTCTTCTAAACATCTTCCACCTTCCCCAGAAGGTCGCAGCAGCTCTAGCTGCTCTGTTCAGTCTCGCTCCTGTACTTACCATTGCCCATTTTCTCCTTCCTGCACAAACTGTACTAAATCTCCATCCTCTAGTGTAAGAGAATCTGGGAAGCAGCTGTCAAAACTGCCTTCTACCCGGAAGAGATTGGTCCCCTAAAATGAAAAACAACATAACAAAAGAAATACAAGTCAGCACGGATGAAGGAATGCTGAGCCAGAGAGAGATGCTTTGGTTAAACACAGAAGTAGGCACTGCAAGCAGCCAGAGAGTTCTTCTCTAGGGAATTCTGTCACATTTTATTCTTTTTATCACGCCCAGGCTAAACATTTTGCAAGCTCACAACTCTCCTGAGCATTCAGGTGTTAGAATTAATCCATTTGTCATTATTCTGTCACAGAAACTGGGTTTGAGACATAAGCTTAAGCAATCTGGAAAAAAACCTGAAATTACTTATTTTTAAAGGAGTCAGAGTTTTCCCAGCACTAAGTTACTCTTAGGAGTAACTTCCTCCTATAAAGATAAAAGCTGCAGCTTGGAAGTAAGGATGACTCCTATGATCCTGATGCACAATAACCTTGGAACAAATTCCCCAACACCCCAAGTGACAGTCTTCTCTCTTCCCATACTTCCATGACTAGTGTAAGGCTGGTGTAAACCCAAACTTTGCAGGTTAAGTTCCATATTTAAAAGAAAAAAAGGTGGCAGTGTCAAAGAGGTTAGTGAATTTTGGAAGGGGCCCTTACATTGTTAGGGTTGGTCTCTTCCTCCATGTCAGAAGAGTTGGAGAGTTCATCTGTGCTGGAGGGGATGGCTTCGAAATCTTCAAACGTGTCTAGAGATGGCATCTGCCTGCTGGGCCAACCTTTCCAAAGGAGATGAAACAAAAACCAGTTACCTATTGGTCATCAGCCTCTTCGAAGCTCAAGCTTTTAAAATAATAGATGTCACAGTTTCATTTCCAACTGCTCCACTTACTGACATGCTTGGACCGTTTTACAGATAGTTTTAGGGATTTTGCCATAACAACTATGCTGCAGTCATTACCATCTCTCTAAAATGTGTACTTCTTGCTGTCATTTGGGGGAAGGAAGACTGTAATTCCACAAGGTATGTGTGCATCAATACACTGTGTGCTTAGCATGCCATTTTTCTTCAGTTCAGGATGTTCAAAAAGCAAGAGCCAGGATTGTTCCAGCAGAATAAATGCACTGGCAAATGATAAATTTGCTGCTGCAATTTTCGGCATGGCTCCTGTTTCCAGCTTACCTCCATATATTTATCTGACATGAGACCCAAAGCCACTGGGTTTCAGTCCACTTCTCGCCCCAAGCTGATACTAGCACCTCAGCAAGTTACCAGACCTTGAAGCAGGCTTGAGATGCAGGGAAGGGGCAGAACACAGAACAAGGCACCATGACAAACAGCCCTTTGCTTGTGAGGAAAGAAGATCTCATTAAGGTTTCTGCTGGGAACCTTTCTGATACCGATGACTGCAGCCCAGCCAGAAAGAAGCAACCTCATGTCCATGAAGGGATCCTGCAGCTCAGACAGGCACAAGTCAAGGGGAGCCAGTGAAATCATCTCCTTACTGCACCCACCACATTTCTGCCCATCCACAGGGATGTGGGCAGAGCAGATGTGGAATCCAGCTCTGCAAAGCTTGTAGGTCCTTGCTCCCCAGAGGGCAAAGCTGAGCTCTGCCAACCAGGCACAGAACTGGCTGCTCACACTGGGGCTTTATGCTCAAGTCACAGCAAAACCTGTCCTCAGGCACCACCACCTCTGGGCAGAGCAGGTTGGAGAGTTGGAGATGAAGCAGAAAAGCAGCCTGATCTGGCAATCACAGCTTATTAATAGTCTTATCTAACCCCTCCCCATTCTCATCATTCCTCTGATCATAGAATCATAGAATCATAGACTGCTCAAGGTTGGTCAGAGGTCATCGAGTCCAACCCCCCTGCTCACGCAGGGTCACCTAGCGCACGTGGCACAGGGCTGCATCCAAGCGGGTTTTAAAGATCTCCAGAGAAGGAGACTCCACAACCTCTCTGGGCAGCCTGTTCCAGTGCTTTGTCACCTGCACAGTGAAGAAATGCTTCCTTAAGTTCCTGTGGAACTTCCGATGCTTCAGTTTGAAGCCATTTCCTCTAGTCCTATCACTGTCCACCACTGAAAAGAGGCCGCCCCCCTCCTCCTCACTGCCTCCCTTGAGGTATTTAGACACGCTGATCAGGTCCCCCCTCAGCCTCCTCTTCTCCAGGCTGAACAGGCCCAGCTCCCTCAGCCTTTGCTCACAGGGCAGATGTTCCAGGCCCCTCATCATCCTGGTAGCCCTGCGCTGGACTCTCTCCAGCAGCTCCACATCCCTCTTGTACTGGGGAGCCCAGAACTGGACGCAGTACTCCAGATGTGGCCTCACCAGGGCTGWGTAKAGGGGGACAATCCCCTCCCTCAACCTGCTGGAGACGCTCTTCTTAATGCACCCCAGGATCCCGTTGGCCTTCTTGGCCACCAGGGCACACTGCTGCCTCATGGTCAACTTGTCGTCCACCATGACACCCAGGTCCCTCTCTCCGGGACTGCTCTCCAGCAGGTCCACCCCCTAATCTGTACTGGTGTCCAGGGTTATTCCTCCCCAAGTGCAGGACCCTGCACTTGCCCCTGTTGAACCTCATGAGGTTTCTCACCGCCCAGTCCTCCAGTCTGTCCAGGWCCCTCTGGATGGCAGCACAGTCCTCAGGGCTATCAGCTACTCCTCCCAGTTTAGTATCATTGGCAAACTTGCTGAGGGAGCACTCCAGCCCTTAATAGCACCACTCGTAGCAACAGTCACACAGCTGCACATCCGCATCTCCTCCCTCCCGCTATACAGGGGCTGCAGCTGCCCCATCACCGGTTCTGTAACAACAGACACAGCCTCCTTCCACCAGAGCAGCACCACCACCTATAAACCTATATAGCAGGTGTGGGTGTGTCATCAGGTGATGCTTTTCAAGGTGTAAGCTAGCCTATAAAGTGGGGTTCATGCGCTGGGTTGTGAGGGTCCATGCCATGGGTTGATACCAACAGAGCTTTCAGGCCAAAGAGATCGTTTCAGCTATAGATTATGCAGAATATAGAGCTGGGCCCTGCGTGACACCAGCAAAACCGTCCCACTCAACTGCAAGGACAAGAAGGAATCAATGCTGATTAGCTTTATGTCACCACAGCAATTTTAGTTCAATTCACAGTTCCAATCTTTGAGCTACAAACACCGAAAGAAAAAGAAATGTCCTTTCCTGCTTGGAGAAAGGTTCGTAAGAAGGATATAAGGTGGTAGCTGAAGTAAAAAGGATTTCTTATCATACCTGCGTCATCTTGGCCGCGTTCTTCCTCATAAATTGCTATTGCAAGTTCAGAGACTGTATACAGAGTCTAAGTAAGATTTACATGCTTTGCTCAAGCAATAAGACAACACAGATCAAATTCTGAACTCTCTGATATCAGATCAAAGAAATATTTTCAACAGGACCTGAACTACACAAAACCAGAATCTGGTACATTGTTCCTATACCCGTTAGGTGACCCCAGCTTGGCTCTTTCATTGCTTTCAAGGAAAATGATACTCATTATATGGAAAAAATGTAGAGATATCTTTAAGTTATGCTCTTAAATTGGGTTAATAATAATGCTTTAATTCTATTTACCTGTCTGTGAAGCAGATCTAGGTACTGGTCTTGTGGTGGAACCGGTACTACACTTAGTCTGGGCCAATATGGTGTTCTCAAAAGCATCTGTGACAGGAAGTACAATTTTGTGTCTTAAAAGTGGACTAGTGATCAGACCACCAGTGCAATGTGAATTCCTGCATCACCTCTGCAACTGGTAGTCTCTTTAACAACTGAGTGGACTGGGCTCCAACATTTATAAAAAGATGAATGAAAACACAACAGCGGTATTCCAAAAGAAGAAAAAAAAGAAAACAGTAAAAATTAGAGATGGACCAAGAACAACCAAAAGAACCAAGCAGAAATAGTGAGGTTAATTAACGACACTGATTGTTGAGTGAATAGTGCAGTGCTCCATTTCACTACAGATTCCTCATGCACTTAACGTACTCTCCTTGCAGCATCTCAGATCATTCTGTTGGTGACGGCATTTGCTTTTGATGCCCATCCGTACTGCAATGAAAATGGACCAGGGAGACTGTTCCTCCCAACAAGAAATTAATGTCACTGCTGATTAATGCAATTTTGGGGTTAATTTAGGGGGGGTTGTATCAATGCAAGATGTATCTTGAGTGTTATTAACTCTGCCAGAGCTCTAGTAGCAGCAGCAGTATCTGCTGGCAGGGGGATGATGATGCTCATTTGTCTCCTCATTACAGAAACTTAGTAGGACCCCAGCTTTCAACTTGTGAGAATTAACTTAGTTTTGAGAACACCTGAGCCCTGAAAAATGCCCTGCCTCTATATTTACATGCTATGGTGAGATGACAAGTAGATATTGCTGATGAAAGTGAAGTACAACCAAAGTCGAGGAAACTCTGGCGCTGGGTGTCAGGACGGTCCTGAGCTTAGTGCCAGGGTCACCAACAACAAATGTTCTGCAAACACCAAAACCAATGTTTCATCTGCTGCCTCTGAAATGTTTCTTCCAAGCTCTCTGTTCCAGACTCCTCTTTTGCTGGGACCGACATAGGAGATAGCTCTGAATGTCACTGATGCTACCACTAACTTGGCCAGGTTTCATGCAGAGCAACAGGATCAGAAGAAAAGACTCCTCAGCTTGTGTCTCCTCCTCCCTGTCCTGCAAGGGGGCTGCCCTGCAGCTTGTTCCCCACAGGGCAGGATGCTTTGGCAGATATGAATGTAAACGGGAGCGCTGGCAATGGAAGTGGGTGATCTTCCAGTGTCTGGGGAACCACTTCCCAGTTTAACTCATTGATATTATTTATTATACTGTGACCTATGATCCTGCTGCAATAAAGAGCTGGGAAGTCTGCTTGGCTGAAATGAAACACTGCACCTTGAATGGATATTCATGTATGGGCTAGCCTCCTTGGTACTCCTCATGCACCTGGTTCCAGCTCGTCCCATTACTTAGCTATAGTCCCTGACAAGGAAAGAGTGATGCAAGTGGCCAGACTGTGGGTGAAGGTGAAAAGCAGCCCCTTGGCCAACTGCACGGGCCTCTCTTCCTGCTACATTGGAAGGGGTAGACGCCAGCCAGAAAATCCAGACCCAGCTCACAGGTCTAGACCATCACCTCCCAAAAGAGGCACTGACCTGGGGGGTTAATTTATTTGGTAAATACAGCATGAATGCAAGGGGCAGGCAAGGAGATGGCAAACTGTGTTTGTAACAAGAATGAGGTGACATCAAGCCCCTAATGCCTATATGGACTCCAGTGTCATCTATCAGCAGTGATGAGATGTGGATTCAGTGGATGGGATCAGAAGTTTGCCAAAGAGGCTTTCATGCAGGATGGAAATACTCATACCTTCAAACCCCAGGGGAGTTGGGTCACTCTTTATTTCATGTCTCTTGACTTTAACTGCAGGAACAAGGGGACCTGTGTGAAGTTTGCAGAGTCACAAGGCTGTAAATATCGTTAAAGGCAAAACTCACTTTCCCATTACCTGACAACACGACCTGGAATGACCACACCTGCCCAATATTTAAAAATATAAGAAAAACAAAAAGCAGCTTCACTCAGGAAAATCACTAATGCCCAAGTTGAAAGGGGTGAAAGAAACACTTCTGTGATGTGAAGAAAAGGAGCCATTTCTGCAATAGACATTAAGTCACAGAATATCTATCTGCTTCCAGTGAGGATATGCAGATGTTTCTCCCTCCTTTGCCAGGAGATGGCACCAAAGCTTGAGAACTTGCAGTCCCCATTTTGTACCTGCACTGCTCTTTCTGCAGCGTCCTGATTACACGTGCGGTGGGACAGGACTAATCACTTAGGAGCGAGGATCAGGACACAGCAGCAAACAGTGTCCCCGAATAAAATAATCCAAACATCCTGGCTAGGCTTGCATTTGGCTAAGGGTGAAGCAAGACTTGAGGCATGTTATATAAACCTAAAATATTATTTTACATAAATAACGGAAAAGTATTATTTTTGTTTTCTAGCTTTTACAATCATTGCCTTCCAAGAAATTTGCCCAACAGTCTTCTTGTGGGCAGAATCTGGTCTTGCTAGACATAAAACTTCAATAAATTTAAATTTAATTGTAATTCACACATGCATGCTTCAATAAAACATGTTAAAGAACAACTTAAGCTGCCCGGTCCTTTTCTGTATATCCACTTCTTTCCATTTCTAGACTAATAACTCTCCTTGTTATCGCTCTTTCAGTAGCCTTGATAACTAACCCCGTATTTCTGAAGCTGATGCAGAGGACAGAGAGCTTTGAAATGCACAAAGATTAGACTCATGCCCTTCACAGCTATTTAGAACATTCTGCATCAAATATTGTGTAAGCTTCTTCCTGACAATGAGTAGCAAACTTGCTTGTACAAATGAATATAGCCTTTTTCTCCCTATTTTATTTTTAGATTATGAATTGCCTTTTAAATCTTAAACTTGCAAATCAGTTCCTCCTCTCCATTCCAGGAACCTTCCATTTTCAAAACCAACTTTGACATTTAGGCATAAGTGCCTAAAATCCCACTGATTTGCAACACTACCAGCCTACCAAAATGCATAGGTTGCTGTCAAGATTGAATGTAGGCGGTCATGTAATAACTTAAAATAATTTTTGTACAAGTGCTTTTTCTCAAAATATTTATAGATCAGGAATAAAGTTCCCATATACAAGTTCTCATAGGAAATGTGTAGAAGTCAATGCCTTCTGGGCATCTACCTGCCTTAAACATTTCTGACAACTTGCAATCATTACTGCTAATCATGTGTGTGACTATGGTAAATGTGCTTAAAGTGACAACTATTGCTGCTATTTTTGGCTTGATTTCTGGCATTCTTACCTGATACCTATTAGGCAATGAGAAGATTCTGTCCTTAAAACCAAAATTTCTAAACATAATTTCTATTAAACTTCAGTGAATCCAGTCCCAGGGAGAAGCTGGGAACTAGCCCCCCACCAGCCGAAAATTAATCCAATTTCCATGGAAATCAGCATCACTCTTTGAAGCCTATCAAAGAGAAACTGAGTAGAGTCATTATATAAGTGCTTGGAGCATGTCTCGTACCTTCAAAATATCCTGGCCTATCACCCCACATGTTTTATATACTCTGATCCTGACTCCTCTTCTACTAGAATCTCCTGGATTTATAAAAATTAACCCTGGTCAACACCCTCTCTTAACAGTGTTTGGCAGCAAAAGGTCAGCAGGAAAGCAAAAGGGGAGCTAAGCAAGCGGCATGACGGTACCTTTGGTCACAGCAGATGTATTAGCTGTGGTGCTGATGGAGGAGGCTAGGGAAAAGCGACGGGTAACTTCTCTTTCCTTAGATTCTGGATCTGGGAGAACAGACAGATGCCGTGCAGGGCAGGATTAGAGGTTAATAAGCACTGAGGGTTAAAAATGTCCGAAGCAAAGCAGCAATTGGAAAAGAGCAAGTAAAAGCCAGGTTGCTCCCTTTAATCAGCCAGGAAAGAAATCCTCAATGGAGTGAAAAGCATAGAAAATATTCAAATAAATGCATTTTCAAAGCACTTGCAATTGCACCAATAATACTGCAAAAAACAAATTTGTGCTGGTCAATATTTTACCAAACATATCAAAGTAAAGCTACAAAACAAATAGGGATGAGGATGATGATTAGAATGATGTGTGTCTACACATGAGGTCTGCATTATTTTAAAGATGCTGAACTGCTTGTTCTGTGATGACTGGCCCGAAATACCCTAAAAACCAAACATTCATGGGGACAGTTCACATGTCATTTCTGGAAGTTAACTCTGTGAACACCTTAAAACATTCTCTGAGGCTGCTTCCTAACATGGTGTAAATCAGCTTGGAGAAAGTGAAGGCAACAGAGTATTTCTAGTTTATCCTAATTAGGATCACACCTTTTCACAAAGGCACAACTTCCTTACATTTCTTTGAAGTGTGAAAAGGATTTTTTACTCAAAATATGTCATAAACTGATCAAAGGTATAAACTGGCTGCTAGCTTTGGAAAGCACAAATGTTTTAAAACACGTAAAGGTCATTAAGCAGCTCCTAAGAGATCCTGTCTGCATATGGACATCTGGATGCTTCTTACACCTACTAACTACAGCAGGACTACTTGGGAAAAAAAAGTTGCTCTTTTACAAATATTTCAGGATAAATTTCTAGTCCCTGCAGCTGCAAACCCTCTACGAATATGTACTGTTTAATTATGTGATTTTTTTTCATATAATGCTGAGCAAAATAATTTTTAGAAGGTTTTAAAGTTTTTTTTAACAACTATATTACTGTGAAGATTTGTTAGAGATCTTAAAAGCCTCTTTCCTACTTCACATTACCCTATTTCAGTGTTAAGATACATGTATTTTCTCTTGGCTTTTTTCATTCCTTATTCCTACCTATGGAATATCACTTTAATTGTTTTTTTCCAGTAGGGCAGAAATGACCGTGATTTGTTGGACTGCAGAATCTATTAGGTTTTATCATACACAAACATCAGGAAACTTTATTGAGTTTCTATAATTCTCAGTGCAAGTTTAACTTTATATCGGCTCCATAAAAAGACTGTAAATTCTGTGACTACCTCATGCTCTTCCTTGTTAATTTACTCATAAAGGTTCATATTCAAGTATGTCTGTATTGAGAACTCCTAAAAAGCTGAAGAAAAAATGAGAGGCTAAGCTCTGCCTTCAGTGACAATTACAAGAGAATTATTGTTCCACATTTATGCTGCTGTAACTACCCTTAATGATATCCAAAGAAAATTTGACTTTAAATGTGACACTGGACTATATTTACATGCATGTAAAGAACTGTATGCTGGGCAGCATACATCATGTCAGACCCAGGAGCACTCATCATGACAACAACTATCATGACCAGTAATGGATCCTTGGGCAACAGGGACAAGAGCAGGACAATCCTACACCATCATAACCTCCATCTCACAGCCTCTTGTCTGTCTTCTTTTCTCATAAGCCAATCCACGTAGTGCTAACACAGCCGGTGGCCATCACAGGCTACAAAAATGACCACACTGAGCCAATCCAGCCTATTTGCAGGCTGCTCTTTCCAAACTGGGTTTCCTCTAGGCCAGACTAGGCTAACAGCTGAACAGCAGGAGCAGAATGAGCGAACCTGGGACACTGGGTAATGGAGAGAGGTTAAAGGAATCTCAAGCCACACTCAGTTCCTGCAAGACTTTGAGCTGAGTGTCTACAGCTTAGAGGGTAGGAAAAAAAAATTATCAGCACAGAAAGAAAAAATAGTAATAACATGAATTATTATGTTATCTGATTGTGAATAGAATTGTACAATTTCATTTCTATTTGTATTCCTGTCTTCTAAAGTCTCTTGCTAGTACAGCCGTCACAGGAATATGCAATGAATGCTCCCTACCGATGGATATTAAGTTTTTTCTAAACATATATGTATGAAGACTCAGAATACACCATTTCACAGATGGAAAAGCAGAGCTGAAGTGACATGTGCACAGTCACATAACCTAATTAGAGAATAAATGACAGTAAAATCCAGATCTTCTGAATCCCAGTTCCCCAGAAGCATTAGAATGGTTCTTTAGTACCTGAGCAACATTTAATATACCACAGAGATGCAACCAGTGACCTATATAACACAAGAAAACCCACTGCAGCACAGCATGGCCATGATACTCCTTCCTTCAAGCGAGTAAGTTGCTGAAAGAAGTTAGGTGTTGTGGTGGTTTAAAGAGTCTTCACACTTGGGTCTTTGAGAGAAACTTCAAACAAAAATTATTCACACTTTGTGCCCCAGTAAAAAAAGACAACCAGTTCACAGGCTGCCTTGCCAACACTGCTGTGGGAGCAGCTCCAGGTAACAGGGTCTGTGAGGACAGGAGCCACGTGTGTGTGTCAGACAGGCACATTTCGGTGGGATGCAGCAGCACGTTAGGAAATAGTGATGGATGGCACCATGGGATGGAGCAGACACTGTGGGAGTGCAGGACACAGATGGCCAGAGACCAAATGCTGCATGTGGTGATTTTACCTTTGGGAGGAGCTCTGCGGTTGGAAAGACCTTGCAATGTGAATCGCTTTCTAGCAAGCGCTGTGCGCTCAAGGTTAAGGCTGGTGGAAGCATCAACTAGGAGAGAGAGGGAGAGGGAAGAAAGATAAGGAAGGAAGGGTCAACCTTTCAGCTTATGGGAAAGGAAAGGTTAACATTGGATGCCAACTAAAAATAATTAATTGATTCAGGTCAGGCCTGAGCAAGAGCTAATCAATTAAGGAGGTGACATGAGGTTAGGGCAGGTAAACTAGCTGAGCCAAACAGAGCCCCTGGGCTGAATTTGGCTCACTGAGTTTCAATGGAGAAAAACAAACAAAAAGAAGAAAAAAAATCAGGTGAAGGGATGTAGCTCTCATCAAAGGAAAATACAGTTTAGCAGCAAGCTCCTTATAAAGGATTCGATGCCATTTACAATGAAAACATGTCACTGTGACTGGAACAGCAAGGCTGTAGTGAGAAATAGAGGAGCAGCCCGTGCAGGGGACATAGAGAGAGCCAGCGCTGCGAGCGGGCGCACGCCTGCTCGCCTGTCCTAGCACTGCAGAGCTCAGCCTGCCTAGCCCTGAGCCTTACCTGGCCCTTATAGCAGCCTCCAATGCTGGCACACGCTCATGCACTTGCTCTCGTGATGAGCTGCGGTGGAAGGGGCCATGCCTGCTAAGCACCTTGCATGGGTTAAGCACCTTGCATGCTGGTCACCCGCGTGAAAAAGCCAGCCGTGCCACCCAACAAGCGCATCCACAGGATAAATTACAGATGGATCTAGGTCCTGAGACACCAGGTTTCCAAGATATGCAGTTACTGACACTGCAAGACAGGGATGGATCAAAATCCATCCCTCTAGATCCATGCACTCCTGCCAAATTAGGCATGGGCAGTGGACAGGCGACACAGGAAAGGGTTGTGGCACAGGACCAGGAGAGAAGCCATGTGTCCTCCTGCCCGATTCTGAGCCAGAGGTTTTATTCATTAGATTATTCCTTTTGTTGATTTCATATGCTGCCAAGTACTAATCATTAGAGACATAAATGAAGACCAGAAATACAGAGGAAACATGGAGGGTCAATGAGTTCCAACTGACTGACAAGTGACACAGACATGCTGTGCTTCCAAAGGAAAGTGCATCCCATCACTTCTTGACTTGCAGCCAAGATATTGCAGGAGAGAGATGATCCAGGTGCCTGAGGGTTTAGGTGGGCATGAAATGAACAGATCTGAACAATTCAAAACCAGTGTGTCAGAGCAGTTGTGCTCTTTCCATCCTGGGGCCTGGGCCAGGCAGAAGCACCTGGTGAGCAGGTCATACCCACCCTGGTGCAGCTGCGGAGCCGGGCACAGATGCTTCAGGAAGCATTTGGTTTTGGGACTGCCCCAAAACCAGAGCCAGTCCTTGCTGTGACTGCTCCCACTGCCTGGCAATGTTTATAAAGACACCACTGGCCTGGTGACTACCTCCGTCCTGCTGCTTGGACTAACTTATGAAGAAACCAGAAATGGAAGTATAAAATACGTTTAGTTCCCATCCGGATAGTGCAGGAAAATCCACAGTATTTGATGATCATAGAGTCATGAGGAAAGTACATTCCTGTGTGCAAGAAGAAGGTTTATATGCTGATTATTTAGCTATGCATTTGTACCACTTACTGAGGGATGCATTAGGTCTTACCACAAGTGCCCACAGCTTCCCAGCACCAAGAACTCATTAGGGGCTGACCTTGACATGCTTTCTCCAACTGAGGTATTTCAAATCTTTCTCTTCATTCTGCAGGGTAATCATATAGTCCTGGAAACCATTTCTGAACATTTTAAGGACAGAAAGGTGACTGGGAGTAGTCAGCACAGACTAACAAAGGGGAAATCATGTTGGCCAACCAGGAAGCCTTCTATGATGGAATGACTAACTCAGGGGACCAAAGGAGAGCACTGTATGTTGTTTATCTTGACTTGGGCGAGGCCTTCAGCATTATCTCTCATGACATCCTCACTGACAAGCTGATAAAGAATGGATGAGGTAAGTGAACGTGAGGTGGACTGAAAACTGGCTCAACTGCTGGGCTTTGTGGTCAGCAGCAAGGAGCCCAGCTGGAGGCCAGTCAGTAGTAGCAGGATGACTAATACGGTTAAGGGACTGCAGCATCTCTCATGTGAGGAGAAGCTGAGTGACCTGAGATTCTTCATCCTGGAGAAGAAAAGTGTCACAGGGAGATCTTTTTGGTGTGGACAAACACTTAACAGGCAAGAGTAAAGAAGTAGGGCCAGACTCTCAGTGGCACCCAGAGACAGGAGAAGCACAAGTGGGCACATATTGATATACAGGAAATGCCTTTTAAAAATGCAAAAATACAATGAGGGTGGTCAAACCTGATTGGACACAGCCCTAGGTGATCTCCAGAAGTGCCTTCTAACCACAGTAATTCTGTGTGATCCAATTGCAGGAGACTGGGTTCCCATATAATTCAAGCCTGAATTTACAGATGAGGCCCATGCAAAATACTGCTTTATATCTAGATACCTCGTAAGCCACAGGCATATAAGTGAATCCATGAGAATGATGGAGCTGAAGTAGTTTGCCTATAGTGCTGCCCCTACACTTTACACTATAGAAAGAAAATAACTGAAAATAATCTCTATTTACTTTCACTAGGTACACATTGGTTGTATTAGAGTCAGTAGGTGGCACAAAAGAGACAGCTTTAACAGCGCACTGAGCAACGTGTTGCCCGTGGACTACAGATTAGCCCAAGCTTTGCCCTCCCCAGGAGGCCACAGTGTGATCCTGCTGCTCCTTCACAAGCAGGAGGTAACTACACATCCTCAAGATACAAGTGGAGTCACCCAGACTCGAGTCTGGTGTCTTGTAGGGAAAGAACTACAGGGGGGACATTCCAGCTGGAGAGCTCTTCCTCCAGTCCTCTGCATGGCGTTGGGTGGCCCAGGATGCACAGCCCACCACAAACCCCAGAGCCACCGACCCGCTGCCCCGCTCTGCAGGAGCGGCCACAGGGCAGGAAGGGACCGGGATGAGGTGCTGAGCAGGGAAGGAGCGGCAGGGAGAGCCCAGAGCTGAGCTAAGCAGAACACTGAAGAGTGATAATCAGCCTAAAGGCTGCAAAACGCAAGCAGTTTGTACACTCATGTGTCAATTGAATGAGCTAAAAAACACCAGTAATTTTTCTAGTAGTAGGGTTTGTAAATTTAAAATGAAAATGTGCTTTTCAGTATTTTATAGAGGTCAAAAGCAAAAGTTGCTTTAAAAAAAAATACCAGAAGAGGGGTTTTTTACTAATAAAATTGGATTTTTTTCATGAAGAATCCTTAACTTTTTTTCTCCAGAAAAAAAAAATTATTGCAATGCAAAATCTTTTGCCCAATGACCTTGTTTCCAGAGGAAAAAAAAAAATCTTCCCACATTTCTTGATCATCTCTATTAATAAAAAGACCTGCTGTTATTTTAAGACGGAATTGGACCTTCATCTCTTCTTTCCTTTTAAGACCTTGCAATCTAATGTTCTATATTCTTAGAAAGGTCTTTGCTCTAACACTTCAAAATAATACTCCAAAGAGAAACTACTGTTGCAATACTTTCTGTTCCTGCTACCAGCAGATGAGATCCAATTTCTTTGCAATGTTCACTTTAACCTACATTGTGCACACTCTCGCTATTGCTTTTATGCCTTCAAATAGCAGAGGGACTTTCAGTGACCACATGTGTATTTTTTTTAAACTATGCACTAGAAGGGAACCTATACACACATGGGGAAAAAAAAATCCCTTTAACAGAAAAAAAGGAAATTTATTAGTCCACTCTTTGAATAGGCTTAGAATTACATACAGCTAAAAACAAAACTTAGAATATAGAGGGTTAAAATAATCACAATAGACCCCCAAAATCCAATCTCTAAAGAATAAAAGTTGTCTAAACAGCTGTAATACATCAAAATTGACACACAAAAAACCCTAAATTAACACTTTTCTAGTGTTCAAGTTTCACAGTTCAGTCATTCTGCTTTGTAGGTTTCTGTGGTTTTTATATTTGGCTTCAACAATATCTTCAACCAAATTCCAGAAATTACTGTGCAGAAATAAAAAATATTATCATTTGGAAGCAAAAGCTCTGTCTCAGAATTCCTACCTCTCTTTTGCCTGGCGCTTGGACTGGAATTTCTGTTTTTGTTGTTCGATGCTTCTACGCTGGGTGTCTCTGATTTATTTTCATATAGACTCGATGACTTCCTGCTATACCTTTGGACAAAAGAAATAAAAAAACATTAGGCTCCCACTTAACACCTTAAGGATAGCCAGCTGCTACTGCTGACAAAGCCAGGCAGTTTTTTCACCCTCAAATAGGGCAGAGGGCTCAGGTTTTAAAATTGTGTATATGGAGAAAGTCTGCATTTGTGCAGACGTTGTGCATGGTAGAAGCAGCCACACTAGTCCTGGTTTCTTGCCACAGCACATCATAAGTGAAGACTTGAGAAAAATACAGGAAGGGATTGGTCAAGTCTACAAGAGCTCTCCTTGCAAATCCTGCATGTTTGGAAGGAAGGGATGGGAAACTGAGGTAGAGAAGAAGATGCCAGCCTTCCATCCTTCGAAGCACAAGTGTATGCGGCTCCAAGAGAGGAGCAGATCCTGGTGGTACTGATCACCTAGAAGCAAGACTATGTGTACAGAAACATATGGGTTCCCCTTGTGCCCTGCCTCTCTTTCTTCTCTTCATCAAAAACATGAACCCAAGCAGGACATCCCTATCTGCAATGAGAGCACAGACAAGGGACAGTTATCTTTCTATTCACAATTAAAATACGAACTTCTCTACTGCACACTGAGTGTCAGGCTTGGTGTAAGGGAAGGCCTAAGGTATTGCCGAACTCCTAAAATCATTTGGAATGATAGAGGTTTGGAAAATCATTTCGAACTGCAAGACAGCCTGGGACCAACTGCTTTGCATTTGAACTTCTGCCCTGCTTCTCATGGAACCTTAACCAAGGTTGCTGGTGCCTCCTGCACTAAATCCAAACTTTGTTTTGCAGCCTGTTGTCAGGTTCAAGATGGGGACCACAAAATAAATACGGGAACAAATCCAAAGCACACTCACATTTCCTTATAGTTCTTTCTCTGTTCCTTCCTAGCTAGAATGAGATAACTGTGAAACATGCAGCTGATAGAGGCAAAGACTTACAGCTGTGAGAAAGACACCAAAAAAAAATCAAACCATACTAAAATTAAAAAAAAAAAAAAAAAAAAAAAAAAAAAAAAACCAAAATCCCCCCACCAGCTTCCTGGAAACAGCATGTGCAAAAAACTCAGAGTGTTTGAAAAATTTTGTGTATGCCTGTGAGCACAGAATATCCTTACATGGATGTATGACCGAATTGGTCATTTCCAAGAAAGCTGATAGTTAAGGAGCTAGAACAATAGTCTATTTAAGTTTCATATATCTAAATAGATTAGAAAACAATACAAAACAATTGTTTTATTATCACCAAAATGCAGCAGCCATCCCTTGGGAGAGATACAGCAGCAATAGATACCACAGAGCATCTCATTTAGGATTAAACACTGAAACTTGGGGAAAGAGTTTGCAGAAGGAGGATTTAAATTGACTGAACAGTACTTGGTGACATTCAATAGTCACCTTTATTAAGGACACCAGTTCCAAGCGTGTATTTTGCAAGGCAGGCTCTTGGAGATCTCAGGTATGACCCTGAGTCAGCCCAGCCTTGTCTTATCTCATGAATTTGCAGTTTGAAGTGCTGATGGCACAAAAATAGATAAAAATAGATGTGGTTCAGGGAGGCAGCCGGGAACTTGCAGACAGACTATCCCAATGTTCCAGGGCTGACAATTCCCATTAAAAAACAGAATCTATGTGATACGTGGGCAATCCAGGAGATGATGCTCCAATGTTCAGATAAAGCCTCCATAATTAATTAGCCTGAAACCACTGCCAGATCACTCATGATGGTCACTGCTCTTTGGCTTATACGGTCACTAGCTTAATAGCACCTTTGCATCACAAATCAGGCTGCACAGGAGGCTCTACTGGCTAACAAAATTCTAGATCCACCATGTAAATGCAGCCACTGTAGAGCCCCCTCGTGCTGCAATTGTCCCCTCTTTGCTCCTCTCAGACATGAGACATTCAAGGTGGCCTCAGCTTAGAATAGTACAGGGTGCAGATTGTGCCTTGTTCCCTTTGAGAAAGCCACTGCTTTGTTCTTTTACCTTATTCTTACTACATTTCTCCAGTTACTGTAATAAACCAGCATCTGGAACAGAATCATCTACAGAACTTTTACTTCTCTGGAGCAGTTTGTACAATAAAGGCCAAAAGCCCTTTACTTTTCCTTTGGCTTAATCCACTCTAGGATAAATATCTAATCATGTGGTCTTTCTTCCTGGAGTTAATTAACTCTGCTGTCATTATTATCTACAATTTTTGCTATGGAAACTCTCACTTCAAGAACACTGTGAGAAGGACAAACATCTGGATTGATTTGAAACCTTTTTATGATTGCATTTCATCTCTTATTAGATTTATTTTCTCCTTCTGTCCCCAAGGTGCAGGATTAAGAGCGCTGCACCTATTTAAAATTTATGGCATGGAATTGAACATCTCTCAAAGGCTGCCTGCATTACCTGGGATCTTTTGATTTTGTTGATATGGCTAAAACAGTAACAATAAAACTTTTACAGTGTTATGTCATGCCAATACAGACTAAATTTGCCCAGCAATTGGGTCATTACAAAGATTTGCTGACATCTTTATTTAACATCTTGGAAATGTGCTAATACATTTTGTCTAAACCTAGTTAATATGGAGCAAGTGGTTCTTTTGTAAACCCAAATTAACATCTTTGAAGTGAATTCTGTATTGTGCTTTTGAGTTTTCCCATGAGCAAAACTTTTATCTGCATTCACATGCCTTTAAAGTATGTCAAGACAACTGGGTAAATTTGTATTTACGAAGCTAAATACAGAACACTAAGAATTTATGTACTGTAGAGGCACAAAGACAAGTCAAAGACATGGCCATGATAAGCCATGATAGTTGTGGTTACCTGGTTAGATTGGAGGGATTCATTGGTGCATGGTACACACTCTCGGTGATTCTTTGGTGTAGCTGGCTTGCTTCTGTTAAAGAGAAAGCAAAAAAGAAATTGTTCCAAAATGTATGAACCATTTCTTTGCTTGCCCAAAAGAACAGAGATGAGAGGGGAAAAAAAAAAAAAGGAAAAGGAAAAAGAGATTAAAAGGGAAGAGACACACTCAGCTGTTGAATTAATACTGACTTGTTGAATGCTAAATACTGGAGGAATCAAACCAGATCCCAGAGCAGATCCAAAAATCTTCAAAACTTTGCCTTTGTCACATATTTGGCTTCAATTAAAATCTTCATGAGTCTTTCCTCTCATTGGAAAGCTGGAAAATCAGTGAGACTGTCCTAAGCTTGAAGCACTTTCTCTCAAAAGAGTTATTCTCATTAAGTGGATAGGAGCACAGATATCCAAGGATAAATTTCTTAGGGAATGGTCCTCTTATTCGCAAAGGCCAGCTCAGCTCCTCTTACCTGAGGCAGATGTGTGGCTGTGGAGATCCCCATTTCTTCTCCCTTTCTAGTTTAGACTAGAGCTATTGCTTTTCCCAGCTACCTCACTAGCTGTGTGTTATGTTCCAAACTCCTCAGGCTTTGCTATAAAATATGTTTTTAAGTCAAATACTGGGACTCACCTGCTACCCAACAAGTCTTCTCCAACACGTGCTGAAATGGGTCTGCTTTATATATACATAAATGGGTCTGCTTTATATATACACAAATAAATGGGTCTGCTTTATATATATACACAAATAAATACATATATATATGTATTTATTTGAGGGGACACTCCAAAGGCAGAAGGCCACTGAGGACAGTAAGAGACTCCCTTGGGATTTTCATGGATGCTAACTCAAATTTAGCACTAAAGGGTCACCTGCAACACACTGACAGCCAGAACTTCAAAGCAAGGTGTCAGCACTGCTAACACACATCATCTGATTACATCATCTGTGCACAAATGATCTGGTCAAAATAGACCAAAAAGCTGATGAGAAAAATCAGAGAGAGATTATTCTTGGATGCCCATAACTGGATGAGAAGCATTTCTCAATCAGGACCAGGTTTTAGTATAAGGGATGTGCTGGAGGCAACATGACCAAGTTTTACAGAATCAGTCCTTCCTTTTAAGCTCTTTTCACCACCATGGCTTTTCCCGGTAGCAGGTACTGCAGCTGGACAACATGGAAAGATCTCTTTTTTGTCCTTTCCCCAGACCTCCCACCGAGCAACTGCTGCCTCAGCTTTCCTGAGAAGTCCTAATCCCCACTCATCCCTTCTGCTTTGGTTCTGCATGTCCACTTCCTGGATTTCTCCTTTAGATCAGGTTAGATTTCTGGAACACCACAGTCCTGGAACATGTCTACTTCACATTTTGCTGCTGTAATCAAAATGAAATGCTGCCATTTGAAGAGAAAGGCAAACTGCCATCTTAAACGCTGGACACACAACTCACCCCCAAAACTTTCCTATCTTTTTTTTTTTTTTTTTTTTTTTTTTCTTCCCTCCAGTGCAGAAGACAGTTTTCCCCTGCCACCTTCTCTTTCCTCTGTACCTCTTCCTAGCTCTCTGCACAGCTTGGATGTAGAGAATGGCCATACAGGCAGTTTGTCCAGAACATAAAAGATTTGTGGCTCACAGCTTTCTTTGTGTTTAGCAACACATGTGCCTCCATCCTTCTGAAGAAGGCCTTTGGTCAGCATTTTGGATAATCAGCAATAATAATGTCATTTTATGCCATTTGCTCACTGTTTAGACTCTTTTTGCATAGCTTCAAGGTAGCAACAGAATAACTGCTGAGTGGAGAGAGATGATGAGAAAGATGCAGACAAACTGGTTTCCAGGGCCAGGAGTGAAGAGGTAATGGAAGGAGCTGCTTTCAAACTGTCAGACTGCTGACATCCTATTTCACTCTGGAAAAAGATGAAGCTTAAATCCCTTAAACTGCATCCTTCACTCCTTTGCCTGCAAGAGACAATTATCCTCTTCGGGATGGACAAATCAAGGCCTTACTCACAACTTTGTCAACATACCACAGTCACTGTACAGAGGATTCACATGCCAAGTATTTCAACACTATTAACCTATACGTTAAATCTTCTATCACACACCTTTGGCCACCTCCTTTGCCCTTTGCTCACTTATTCATCTCAGCTGCTTCCTTCCCACATTCCAATGCTCTGTGCAACTCCTAACAACAGTCATTTAAAACTGCCCAAATAAACATTTCCCTCTGTCTCCTGTCATTATCAAGCATAGTTTGAGAGACATTCAGTGTGGGACATGGAATTGAGGTGTCTTCTTGAGGAGTCATTGGAAACAGAAACAACTGTTTACAGCCACTGAACAAAGCATTTGTTTCCTGCTCTCAGTCCTTTACTAAGGGCTTTGATTCATGTGATCATTTGGAAAAAGGCAATGGGATATGTTGCACTAACATATAAGGCATAATTTCTGCCTTCTGCTGAATTCACTGTGAGACAGCTTGACTTTACATATAGAGGAGGATTAAAGTCATCCTTGGGGGTTCTTCGGACCAGACTGAATAGAGCCTTGAGTAACCTGCTCCAGTGTCACAGCTGACTCTGCTTGGAGCAGGAAGATTGGACTGTGATCTCCCAAGGCTCTTTTCAAGCTGAATTATCTTAGGATCATGAATTAAAACAATTAAGAATGCCAAAATGGAAAGCCATGGCAGAGAGTCTCGATATTGAGTCTTCCAACTGGTCTCATACTTACTCAACAGAGTCAGTTCCTGTAGAACTGACTGCAATGAAATTCAAAATGAAAAAAGAAAGGATGAAATCAAAAACAGAAGCAAGATTTAAGTAGTAAGAATTTATTTTTGTAAACATGTATTGTTATGGTCTAGATTAAATTGCTGAGACTAATATAGTTGTTCCCCTCCACTTGAGGGAATTGTAAAAACTCATTAAGTGTCTTTATAAAGCAGACAATTAAAATAAACATGAACTCTAAACTTAAAATACAGGAAAATATTCTCACCTAAACAAAGTCTCTCAGCAATCTTATGGGTGTGGGTGGAGAGGCTGTTCTGGCATTGCTCTGAAGAGAAGTGTGTGTATGAGAGAAGTAGAGGATGAAAAAGACACAGCTCAAGAGGAGAAGCAATGCTAGTGCTCCAGAAAATGGACCCAGCTATATTTTTTGTTCTAGGAGAACCAGAAATTGCCTTTTTGGACTCTGTACATTCTTGTTTATAAAAGGAATCGTATCTCAGATAGCTTCCATCACTATTTTCTCTCACTACATAGAATGTCCTAATTGAATTTTGGCTATTTATCTTGTTTTGCATAACTTAGATTTTTTTTAAAAAGCTTCTCACTACTTTAAATACTTATGAGGCTTCAACCATCCATGTATTGAGCACATCACAAATCATCCTTACAGTTACACCTTTGTCAGAGAGAGAAGTATCACGAATCAACTATTACAGGGAGCTACTTAAGAAAAAGAGATGGGATATCTGGCTCACAGTCAAATATAAAATAGAGTGACCACATGTAAAACAAATCCTCTCAAACCCACAAAGTAAAATAAAACAATAAGACCAAGAGGAGGAACTCCCTGAGTCTGGCTATTTTTAAAGTCCTAGGAGATTTTCTTTGATGAGAACAAGGGTATAAATCCCAGCAGGGTTGCCAACACAGGGGAACAAATGCTTGTCCGTGCATAGGAGACGTGTCTGTGCTGCTTTCATTCATAGCCCTGGATTACCCTGTAACTCATCCCAGCCCCACGTTGTTACATACATGCACAGAAGGCAGGCACCAGCAGACAACACTGTGTGTCCTACCTCTACAAGCTTCCAGCTGTCCCGTCAGGACTTTGCGAATCTCGGAAATCCATGTGTTTTTCAGCTCAACAGAAGATGCCTAAGAACACAGGGGAAAAGGTGAAGCAGATCTAGTTAAATATGCTGCCAATCCCTTGGCTGCCCTAAGCTACATTTGCTTTCAGTCTCACCCAGTAACGAAATCCTGTGGCCAGCTCTGAAATCAAATGAAAGCAGAGGGCATTTTTCAAGATGGTTATCATGAATCATGATATAATCACATCTAAGGTCCTGTGGTTATTTTTCTATCCTGTCCTCAAAATAATTTTCTACTATCCTTTTTTTTGCTCAAAGTCACAACCATTTTCACAATGAAAAATCAGTGGGTTTAGTCACAATGCAACAATGTCATTCCTAGTGACTATTGTTTTTTGACAGCGTACACAGCTTAGTGAAGATGGAAATTTCCTTAAAAAGAATACATTTGAAAAGAATTCTCAGAAAGAAAGGATTGTCATTACCTGAATGATATAGACTTCTTCTCTGCCATTATACCAGATCTCAAATTTCTTGTTATCCCCTTTTACGTTTTCTGTAATGCCCACAGTGCTCATCTGTTTCAAAACAGAAAAGGAGAATCTGGAAAATGTCAATGGTCTTTTAAACTGCATTTCCTCTGAGATATATTGGTAAAAGGCAGTTTTCACTTCTGCACCCTAAGGAGCTACTGAAAGAAAAAATCAGAACATATATTTCTCAAAATATAATTTATGATTTCTTTTGATTGCTGCAGTCAAAAAATGCTCAAAAGTAACAGGTTAATGCCTGACTATGAGTTCATCTTCACCATTTTGTTTGCTTGAACTTAGCCAATTTTCACCCCTATCCTGTCCATCTACAGAAATTTTCAATTTGAGGAAGGTGCTGATTTTAAATCACCATAACCAAACTGTTAGGGTGGGAGAAGAAAAGGGATGGGATGGGGCTTTATGGTGTTGTGTTGCTTAATCTGGAGATTTAACTCTTAAGCGAGTCTGAATAACAAAAAAATTTCACAACATTATTCTGTTTGCTGAAACAAAAATGAGTCATGAACTAAGTTCCTAGCTAGACAAGGAACTGAGGAAGAGAAAATAATTCTAGATTTTTTCAATGATAGCTTCTTAATAAGAAGTTTAAACTCCAGCTGCTCCTAATTTTAGCAACTTCTTCCCATCTTACTTCTGTATTTTGTTCATTGCCCTTATTTTGACTTGTCTAGGACTGAGATTTCAAAAGTTCAGCAGCAAGAATCATGACGTAATCAAGGGCAACTCCACAGAAACTTCCAACACTTACAGCAATGATATTTGCAATGACTAGTTCACTTCTTGAACCAGGCTCTACTACAACTCCTGTCTGGTTACCCTGTCATAGGTTTGTAGCATTACAATTAATAAGGAATGTTATACATCTGAACGCTCAAGTGTTATATCAGTGGGCTTAAAGGAGAAATTTAGTCTACTCTTGTGTCACTCCTGTGAATAAAAGGGCACTTCTATTGTGCCATAATTCATCAGTAGCTATTCTTGACATAGACTATATCTGCTCGACTGATGCCAGTAGCTAAGCTCATGATAAAAGTGAACTTGGAGGATCCTTATGCTCCATGGGACACTGAGCAAAGAACACGCAAGGTGCTAGTTTGTTTTGAGCTGCAAAAACAGGGGTTGGATCTGAAGCTGAAGGACACATGGCTAAGTCTGACTCCAATTCAAAACTCAAAGTGGACCCTCCATGTGCTCAAGGTTGCTGGATACGTGCAGGTATGGGTATATTCTTAATCTTGCCACAAGGAAGCATCCTCATCTTGCATTTAAAATGTCCAGTGTTAGTGGACATTAGTGTTTGGAGCACACTAAGTATATAAACCTCTCCTTTCCCCTTACCAAATTTATTACCTTTAAGGAATTTTTAAAGCTGTATGAAGCTGTCTTCTCATGGCCATCTGTGTTCTCCTCCCGTTTCTTGCAGAATAGCAGCATCTTCGTATAGAGAAACAGGTGTCTCTGCATTGGTTTGAATCTAGCCAAGTCCTTCACCTTGTTGTGTCCTTTCTTGTGGTCAGTCCACACGTTGAAGGAACCTTGCATCAAGAGCTTACCAAGCTCACTGACATCCCCCTAGCAGGCAAGAAAAGCAGAAGCTCTATCATTAATGGACTATGGGAATTCTGGACACAGTCTCTAGGGATGTTTAAGGTTTCAGGTGCCGAGGCATCACTTGATGTGAAGGAGGAAATTGTTGCAGCTGGAAGCCAAGCTGCTTTTAAACCTTTGCAATTTCTCCCTATAACCATTAACCCACTGTTTTCCAAGTCCATAATTCCCAGTCACCCTATTTATAGTGTCTAAGATCAGTCTCAGGACTTCTTTGGACCTGTCACACTTTTTTCTGCCTCTAATGACTACAGAGGAAACAGCTTGAAAGAGTCTGGAGCTCAAGGCAGTGTGTAGGGGCACGGCAGTCAAGATGCCCAAGCAAAGTCCTCGACTCTCAAAGATAGAAGTTCAGTTTCTGCTCTTCTACAAGCATCTCATGTATCCCTGGGCAAGATCTTGAAAAATACATAGGTAGCTGAAGTGCCTAGAGGTATGTAGGGGGAGTTCATTCCCTCCCATTGCAAAACACAGTCTTCAAAAGCTTTCGCACTAGTTTCTCAGCTCACCATCTGCAAACTATGGAATGCTGCACAGCTGTGGTCAAAGAGGAAGTAAATGCACTAAAGAGGCATAAAAGTATCTGAGGAAGAACGTGCACAGCAACCAACTCTTTCTGTCTCAAAGCCTTTGTCCAAGGGGGAAATGCTTCAACTGATATACATGGCATTTGAATCAGATATCACCAGCACAAACATTTCTAGCATAGTTCATATTAAAGGGCACAATAACATATGAATAGAGGAACTTGCAACATCTATATCCTAATGGATTTTAAGAAATAATGATATCAATTACACTGGGGACATTTTTTTCAAGGAGTGCTTTGTGTAAATTTAGGGAACAAGCTGAGTTCATTATTAAAGAATGTATTTTCAACATTTATATGTTCTGTTGATTATAAGGTGAAGATGTTGTCTACCAGGGGGAGTATCTGCTTTCTAAAAGCACAGATTGCAAGTTGGTCTCCTTCTCACTCCTCATCCTCTACCCTACATTCACCAGCAAAACCAGGATTTGATTAGGTACTTCAATACTACACCAGGACACTACAAAACTCTCCAAAGCATTAACAATAATAATTTCTGTAAGTCTCTTATCTCATATGATCTCTTATGATGATATGAATCATCATTATGATCATGATGATGATGAATCATTATGATGATGATGATGATATGAAGTCTCTTATTTACAGAGTTGGATTTTTATTCATGCACACAGTATTGTGTGTTCATATTACATGTGCATGTAGGTGTAAACTTATTGAAGAAAGGTAAAATTAAATCAAATAGACATATTTCCCATATTGTTTTGTCAATGGTGAGATGTTCCTGCCACTCCAGCTGCTGTTTGGTGTGGCAGGGAGCTCCAGAGGCTCAGTTAAGCTTTCATGACAGGGCTGTGTCTTCAACCTTGGGTCTGGGACTAAGCTGATAGCAAATGTATTTTGTCCTAAAGGCTGTTTATTTAAAGTAGAGGATTTCACCACTAACACAGATATAATTATTTCCTCTTAGAATCATACATGTAGAACCATACGCTTGTTTATGGAAGATAAGAGATACATAAGAGTGAGTCAGGTGCTGATCAGCAAACTACTTAGGCCTGATCATGTACAACGGCTAGGATGATAGGATGATAGTAAGGAATATTTCTAAATTTCCTGCTCTCCAAACTTCCCTCTGTGTGTTTTCCTTAAAAAAACAAACAAACAAACAAACAAAAAAGATAATTCCTTACACAAGAGTTGAGTCCTTCAAGCCTGTCCATACACACCTTCAAGCAGCAGAACAGTCTATGCAATTAGCAGCATTCAACAGCCACCACAAAACCTGCCTTTCCTCTGGCATAATGTCCTTCTCCAGAGAGTGTTTCTACCACACCTCTGTGGGGAAGTCTCCACCAGCTGGGGTGTGGTTTCATGAGCACTGGGAAGGGTTTACTCGGTATTATAGCTGGGCATCTGACACAAGCAGAATGGAGAGAAGAAATTACTGGGTTCCTCTTTCACACTTTCGCCCCACTTAAGCATCACGTATCAAAACGTTTCAGGAATGCGGTCAACACTGGGCTACAAATGCAGCCGTGCTGAATCTTTTCACATCTTTCAGTATATCTGAGAAAGCACAGGTCAAAGTCAGCCCCTCAGAGCTAGCATGGCAGTCCACTCATGGAAATCTGGCAAATTAAAAAGTAGCGGCTGAAAAGTGATGGGAATGATTTGTCGAATTCCTGCATAAAAACCTGCTCTGAGATTTGAAAGCAAGGTGAATGTGACCTCAACATTTATATGGGCAGGGATCTGCATGGGGTGAGATAAGCTGCCTTTGAATAGATCCCTTCTGCTCAAGCTAATGATGTCACCTATCTTGGAGAAGCTCTTCTGCCCATCCCTTACAGAGCTGTTTAAAAACAGGGTATTTTTGGTAAATAGTTGTAACTATATAAATTTAATCTGGGAAAGACACAAGGAAAGCTGTGTTACTCCTTTAGGGATGACCCAGAAGCAGGGAAACAGGGGAAGCAAAACATGTGCCATATCCACAAGCTTTCCACACCCATGTTTACAAGCCCAAGTCTGCAAAAATATCCAGGCTTTAGTGTCTAAAGACTCTAGTCTAAAGACTAGAGCTCTAAAATTATGATCCAAGACACTGAGAATTAGCCGTTACCAGACTGGTCTGAGGAAGCTTCCACAAGGTACTGCTCCTGACACCCAGAAGGCTGAAAAACGCATGCTGATAAAAGCAAACAGATTAAAAAAACACAAACAAACCCACAGGAATAGTCCCGCAGATACAAATGAAGACTTTGTTGTTACAAAAGAGAAACTATTGAGCAAGCTAATGCATTCAGCAAAGTGCAAGCTGCCAGTGTGTGCAGCAATCACTGATAATCCCAGGAGAGGCCAGGAGGTTGCCACCGCAATCAGCAATTCAAAAGTCACATCAACTCAACCCACCCTGTGTGCTGGGCCCTGTGTGTGGCCCCAGGCAAAAGCCACTTGGCCTCAAACAAGTCCAGAAGAGAAAGTGTGAGCCACACAAAAGCCAGCAGAGATGTGTCCAGATGTTCGTGTATACTGCTTCTGAAAAAGCTTTTCTCAAAACAAAATGCTCCCTGGGAGAGTTTCTCTTAGACTTCTACTACTGTGATGCAAAAGTGCATCTACTAATATAACAGGGGAGCCACTGCTTCATGTTCAACACAGCAGCCTATGAACTTGTTTGCTTGTTTCAGATGTACCACATAAGCCACATCTCCAGCTCTGTACAGCAGAGAACCTATGGCACTCAGCTGAGCAAGCAGTTAAATTCTTTTACAGAATAATTCTGAAACAGAGGGTATGGTCTACTCATCTACCAAATACGTATTTACACAAAGGAGAGTGAGAGAAATTCAAACTACTGATGCCACTCCATCCTTTAAAAGACAAAATAAATCTTTCCACCCAGAAGTGGCTAGTATAGACCTCAGAAGCTTTTCTGGAAGTTACATTCATCATAAGGTCCTGTTTTCCTGGTGTTCAGACTAAGTGTCATCAGCCTAACCAACAGTTCTTTAAACCAAATTGTTGTGAATATTATTTTTTCTTGGAGGCTTCACCACACAGCTATTTCAAAATGGCAGTCACATCATCCTCAGGCCTCACTTCCTCAGATGCCCTCTCCCAAGTGTGTCATTCACTTCCACTTCACACTCACAGGCTCTTTTTCTGTAGGCAGTACCAGATCTTGCAAGTCAGCTGCCTTCCGTGGAACCTCAGCAGAGCTATGTGCATTTAGGGCTGCTGCTTTGGGCTGTGGTGGTTATTGCTTACTTCAGAAAATGAGCTTGCCATGAGCAGGAATGGATCCTACTACCCACTTTAAGACATTTTTTTTATTCCTGAGAGCAAGAGATGTGGAAATGCTCGAAACTGCATAGAGATCACAGACAGTTTCAGTGAATTTCTTAAGCTGTTTCTGGTTTCCTCTCATCTACAAATGAGTTTTGGGTCTGATTAGTCAGGATTGAGTTAGTCATACTTCCTCCTCATATTCTCATAAACCACCATGTCATACATATATATTGACATGCATTTTGGTCACCATAACATGCCATTAAGTGGCTTTATTCAAAGATGTGGCATGGGCTCCTGCAGAGCGTACAAGAAACAGGCTGACCACTGATGATATGAACTTCGCATGGGTGAAGATGAAGGTACGAGCAACACCAAAAAATACCTCATATCCTGTGATTGCTATCTGGTGCATGGAGTCATTAACTGATTTGATGATATCGAGCACGGTGGCCAGGGCCTCTTCCAGTTCAGCGGTACCTTCTGAGTTCTTGCTACATTTCAACATTTCCTGATTAAACAAAGATAAGAAAACTACTTGAAATCTTATTACACCAGAAGCCACTACAGACAGTCCTGAGATTTAGGCTGCATAGACCTCTATGCTGACCGCAGAGACACAAGCTGTGAAGAAATTAAAACTACTGCAAAAATAGTGCCTTACCAGGAACTGCACAATAAGAGAGTTCAGTTTTGTTTCCCTGTGCTGACCAGAATACCAGCAGAAACTACACTCCAGAAATGTATTCAGGAATGAAGCAGGATCCCACTGGATTTTCTTCCTTCATCCTTACTACAGTAAAAATGAGATCGCCTTATCTTGGTGGACATCTAAGGCTGCATGGCCTTTTATGTGGTTCTCATTCAAGTATATTGTTTTCAACTGCATTTTGGCTTTAAAAATCTCCTAATCCAAAAGCTGTGAGACTTACGTTCCTGTGAAACAGGGCTGCAGAAAGGATAGTTCTCACAAAGCCCAAACAGCAGGGGCTAAAATGAGTGGGTGACCAGTGCTCAGAGAGTCAAAGCAAGATATATTCATATGGCACCTGCTCTACAGTCTCTAAAACCAGGATGGACCCCTGCTCTCTGCACAGCTTTTCTAATATCAGCTAAAATGATGGTAAACAGAGGGTTGCAATAATTGTGACCTAAATTTTACAGCTCTTCTGACCCAGAATTTACAGCTCGTCTGGCAAGGCATTAGTTTGCTACCGGTTTTTCACAGATTCCCTTCCTCCTACACCTGTAAAAGCTCCTGCTGCCAGGGACTCAGCATGCCATCTACATGAGCCTCTGAAACTCTGACAAGCTAAACATCCGCGCCAGCGTGCAGTTGCTACGGACAAAACTCGTCTGACTAGCTTCAACTCCAATGGCTGTAACCTGTTTTGCTTGAGAATTATACTCCTTGATCTAATCTTGGTTTATGTACAGGCATATTTCAAATTAAAAGCTGGATCTGGTTTACTCTTGCTCTTCTGAAGACCTTGACATTTTCTCCTGTCTCAGAGAACAGCTTTAAGAAACGGAGCCAAATTTACTGGATTTACTGAATTTCTGGATTAAGTTGAAGTAAATCCACTGCAGTCAGTGAAATTACATCCTTCTTAATATTCCCCTTCAATATTTGGATTTTACAACTTGAAACAAAGTCAAAAAAAAAGGTTACAGAAATATCACACAAATAAATGAACAGCCACATCCTCACACGGTTTAAACTGGAGCAATTTAACTGGAGCCATGGTAACTATTAGCAAATAAGACTGCAGTCTGAAATCTTCACTGCAAGTTTCACAGTAAGCTTTGTGACAGTACACAGCATGGCCTTAAAAGCCACATGAAGTAATAGCAGCATTTATCCTGAAACAGAAATCCTTTCTTTGACTCTGTTGCCAAACTACAATTTAACATACAAATTATTTGTTGATGAAGTGAGAGAGGATTTATTTCTAATAAGTCCTTCAGAAAATAATGCTGACCTGCAGTTCTTTAAGTATAACAAGCTTTGCACTCTCACAGAGAACTTACCTTTAATATTAACTGGTACTTGGTGATTCTCTGGACTGGTTTTAAAAGATAAGCATCTAGTGAGAGCTTATGGTCCAGTTTACGCTGACATTCCTGTAAGGGACAAAAGAGAAGAAAAATAGGATTGCTCTTGGAAACACAGTCAAGACACCAAGATGTAAGCTATGGTTTGATAATCTAAAGAGGATTTTTCTGTGGATTAATGGAGAGAAATTTGTTCCACCTGCACAGGAGTTCTCAAGTTACTCGTGCTATAGTGAAAATATACCTCAATGAAAGCTGATGTTTAGGTTCAGCTTGGTGTAGAAATATGCCAGACAGCTGATGAGACTGCAGTCATCTGAGGTTGGCAAAGAAGCTGGCACTTCTTTGCCTTTGGGTATGGCCTGAAGAGCTTGGCTCCTGTCCACAAAAGCTATTTACTAAGTAGTCTATCTAGACTACCTATCTAGTCTCCTCTAAAGAAATACTGACACATATTGAGCATCTGCAATCAATATAAGAAACATGCAGAAAATTTTGTATTTCTTTTTACTAAGCTTTTACTAAGAAAGAAGGGATTAAAAGGAGAAAAAATTGACAGACTCTCATTGCCCATCTGAAATGAAATTCCACCTGAAAAAAGATGCTGTCGCCACACTGTCTCCAGAGAGCTTCGGATCTTGGTTTGTTCTGACAGTATTTTTCATATATTTGGAGGTCTTCTTTCTGTAAGAAAAGGAGAGCTTAAGATAAAAAAAAGAATCCACAGAGCACTTGCCATTAGTCAGACTTTCTCTTACCTTCCAGTTTATGCATGAAAGTGAATTAAGTCAGAGTCATAAGTCTGTTTATAAAATATACTAAAGCTTTTTACTTTTGTAAACTTAAACATACTGGAAAGTGAGATTTTTAAGGGATCATACAAGACAAGAAAACTGCAGACTGGAAGACATACATATGTCATGGTTTGGTCTGATTGGTCTTGCTCTCTCTGGAGAGAGTCAATCAATGACTAGTTGCTTGGACACAACTATTACCTTCCAGAGATTTGAAAAGATGGCTTGAAAACAAACAAACAAACAAATTAGAAACGTAATTTTTGTTAAAAGAACTGACACAGATCAGTATTTACCAATAATACTTAGCACTTAGCCAAGGTTTATGCGTTAATCGTGCTTTGAAAATAGTGCTGGTTCTGAACAGCATAAGGGTGAATTAAAAAGTGGGAAGTTTGTGTTGTTGATGTGCCAGGCCAGGCAGGGAGAAGTGCTTAAACTCTGCTCTCTCCAAACTAGAAGTGGGTGGATTCACTTGACTCATACTTCATACTCCTACGGAAGCCTATGACAAAATCTCCTTGCCTGCAGCAGAAACAAAGGCAATCCCTCTGCAAGGGGAGATGTATCTCAAGCTCCCTGGGCTATATGGGCAGAGAGGGACAGATGGGCTGTTCTCTGCCTGGTTCCCACCCAGGGGAACCATGAGCCAGGCTGGCTCAGAAGCCCAGCTGCCCTTGTGGATGTGGCCACAGTGAATCAAAGGCAGCACCAAAAGTAAAGCTCAAGAACTGCCATCTCTCACATCTGTACCGTCAGCCCACTGGACAGCACCTATCCTTGGTGCAGGAAAAACAGAGTTTCTGCGTAGGGTTTCTACCCAAACTCGGTGTCCTCCACAGCCCTGAACTGGAGTCACCCGGACGAGCCAGGCGTGGGAGCAGCGCGGTGCTGCGCAACACCGCGCTGTGCCGGGGATTGTGCAAGGCAACTGGCTCCACTGCAATTCAATGGGACAATAACAATGGTGCTGTTTCAAAATAAGTTCAGAGTTTCCCTCGCGCAGATAGGATTGTTTCTACATGTTGCCATGGTAGGCAGTTAGCAGGGGGTAAAACCGGCAAAACTAAATATCATCGGAGGATTAATCAAACATTATAATTTGATTCTCACCTACAGAAGACTAGACAGGTAGGACAGTGGCAGAGATAGTCCAAAACAATACTAGAGGTAAAAGAAAAATACCTGTTCAGTCTACAGGATAGGTAAAATAATCAGTAACTTGCTGGAGTGGAACAGCCCTATGCTAACATAAGGTACTCAAACAGCTGTGTGCATCCTTAAATCCAGCTTTAATTTTTTTAATAGTTTAAGGAACAGGGAATTATTCATGAAAAGATTAGGATCAGTCCCTAAAATCCCAGCAAGTGGTTAATTATCTAATTACTCAATTCTCAAGCATAGTGTGCTGTATTATCATACTAAGGGGTTCTGACTGCCTGCGTACACTTTCACAGCGGGCTCATCTCTGCCTGCAGTGTTTTTCCTTTCCATGGTGACTCGTACATATCTTGGCATCTTTGCAAACATTCACTCACAGTGTGTTTTCCAGGGCACACAGGCACAGCTTCAGTTATCTTTGTCGGGTGCTGATTTTCAGGCATATTTTGCTTGAAATTGGAATGTAGTCCTTTGAATCCAACTCCCAGGCCTACAGTCAGCTGTTACAGGCCTTTTACAAGCAGCTTCATTTTGTAAATATTCCTTTTCCCCTGAACAACCGATGCTCCAACTGTTGATTCCTGACAAATTATATTCTTTTTCCAGGGTTAGAAATGTGAGTACGTAACGGTGGTCAAAACACATCTTTTGTCTCTTCCCGAGTGTTCCTACTTCAGCTTGCTCAGGCTTTCTTCTCGGAAAGAAAGACTCAGGTAGACTGGCCCAGAGCATCCCTCTTACTGGGCCTGCCATCCCCCCAGGAAGGAGGGCCCAGGTCCACGGTGGAAGAAGGGCCCAGGTCCACGGTGGAAGACGGGCCCAGGTCCACCTTGGCAGCTGACCTGATGGCTCCCGCGGTGCTGGGAGAGCACGGGGACACAGCAGAGATGGAGGGATGCTGCCCAGCGCCAGCCTGTCCTACCGCAGCTCTCCGGGTGCTTTGAGGCAGAGCTGCAATCCAGGCTGAAAGCTCCCAGTGTGATCAGAGGTGCCCACCTCTCCACAAAGCACAAAGTTAAAAACGAGCCTGTTTCTCTCCGCAGGCCCACCACGATGCTGCAGCAGCGGCGCTCCGGTCAGGCGGGTTACAGCGGTGCCAAAGGGCAGACGTGGAAGATCCCTCCCCGAGCCGGGCGTCACCTGGAGCCATGGTGGCCTCACCGTGCCAAAGCAAGCGGCCGTAACTCACGGGCCAAGGCAGGAGACTCCGCTCGGCGGGAAGCTGCCCCAGCACCGGGAGCACAAACACACAACCAGCCTTTTGTTTGCGCCTCCCAAACGCAGGCCAACAGAAACAGCAGCTCGCTGCACTTTCTGTGGCTGCTTCTTCAAAGGGAGCGTTAGGGAAAAGTCACAGACTCAAAGGCGCTTCTGTGCGAGCAGAGACAGCTCAGGGAGAGGCGGTCGCTTTCGTAGCGCGAGATTTGAAGTGGCAGCAGAGCCAGTGCTTGATTTAGCTTCTAATTCTTTAGATTTGCTGTAGTTGTTTGAGTGCCCCATGCTAAGAAAGACGGCAAAGGGACCAATTTCCTTTCACTGCTAATTGAAAACCTGCTTTAGTGCTGCTGAGTTTATATTGGTAGAACAGTGAGAATCGGGCTCATCAGCTGCTTTTACGGATAAAAAGACAAGCTTCAAAATTTAAAGATGGCATTTGAACTTGCTACATAATTATAGGACCAATTCTGTATCAAGACTTACTCTGTAGCCCCCAAATCAAGAAATATTTCAAAGATTTAAGTTATTTGATGCTTTTTGGATACCAAATCCCCAAGTTCTTTGAAGATAGTCTATCCAATTTTGCATAACAATTTTGCTGCATCATTTTCCTGCTCTGCATCTGGGTGTTAAGATAGCAACTATTTTTTTTTTAGTATAAAAGCCTGATGACAACTGCTCCAACAAAGAAGCTGCTTTGGAAAGCAAAGAACCCACCAAAACAGGTTTTTCTTATTAGCAGGGTCTTTGCCCAAGTGCTGCAAGCACAAGCACCTTTTGTTACGCTACAGGAAGCAGTGCTAAGAGCCCTGCTAGTGCAGGGAGCTGGGGGCTCCCCATGGAAAATGTTGCAGGACTCGCACGCTGGGAGCCACAGGCAGCCAAGAAATCCGAGCAAAACCACCAGTGCCGGGTGGTTTGGGGCTTTCCAGTGAAGTGGGCTTGCTCTGCTGCTCAACAAAACTGGGTCACACTCAGTAGAAGTGCAGCTAACCCTTACCACATCACACAAGTGAGGAGATCTCTGCTCGACTGTGGAGTTTTGTGAAGGAGTAGAAGAATCAGCCTTGCAGGAGCTCATGGAGCTGATGGAGTTCGCTGGCCAGCGGAGGTGGGTGGCTCTGTTGGACCAACTGTTGGACCAACTGGTCCCCCGAACAGTGCAGAGATAAAAAGGTGTGGAATAAGACAGAGATGGGATGTGCTAGCCATACACAGAGCAAAAATCTGCAAGCACTGTAGAATAAGACTACAGATATTCATACAAACCCACAAAAGGATTTACTTACTCTTTTCAAAAAGCATCGGGCAAGAAGCTCAGGATTTTCAATGCAATTTTCTATCTCCTTAAGGAAAATCCTGAGGGAGAAATTAAAAGCAAACAATAAAGGAATGTCACATTCACACTGTATGTTGGTTTCCATGTAAATCTAGATTAAAAGTTAAATTTCTGCTGTAAGAGGATAGTAGACAATGTAACAATCCTGACATCTAAAGAAATATATTATTTTAGAAATCTGGGATATGGTTCACAGCCAATTACCTGAATCATCAGTATTACAATGTTTTCATTCACTCAAAAGCATTTGATGCATGTCATCCCTTTAACTGCTGAGATTTATGTCCAACATGTAACCCTAACTCCTGTCTACTTTTTGGTTTGAAGGATTTTTCAGAACAGTTAGAAGAGACAGAAAAGTTCTATCAGATGCAGTTGCTTAAGCAGCAAGGGGTGGAAATGCAGGATGCAAACTGCAAAGTCCTTTGCAGTGAGCGGCAGTCAATGTGCCAAGCATCCAGGGAAAGAAAGGCCAGGCTTCGAAAAGGAGGGGAATGTCTCCTCAAAATGGAACGACAAGTTTTTAGAATGATCAGTAAACAGGAAGAGATTTTTCTGCCATGTACTGAGTACAGTACTTTGGTATAAAATTTAAATTTGCAAAATAACTCTTTTCTCCTATTATATTCAATTGTTTGTTATCTTGCATGCAATCATTACCCAAAGGAATTTTTAGATTCTCACCTTGGCTACAGACAGTTTTAATTAAATTAATTAATTTAATTCGGAGAGAAAAGAACAGAAATTGCCCTAAGCTTCGTGTTTCATCAGGGCTATAATCTTGCTTAATGTTGTCTGCAACTCGTATTCTATAGTTCTGAGCACTAGGTCAGCTGTTCAATTACTGATACATGTCTGCAGTGTGGACAAAATTTCTAAAAGAGCTTATGATCACCAGAAGGGTAAAATTCCTTATGAAAAGCGTGATCTAAAGTATCTTCTGGTGACAGGAAGATAAAAACATAAGACAAAAGAGGATGAACACTGGGAAAATTTCCGTGCAGAGGAGTTTTGCCAGAGAAAGAACATCAGTATTTAGTCCTGTGACATTTACTAGCGTATCAGGGGAGGCAACAAAATACTTGCCACAAGGGACATTCCAAATTAATGATGCCAAGGGAAATCAGTAGCAAATGCACAAAAGGGTTTAATCATTCACAGACAAAGAGATGAAATAGATGATCTCAGGGGGGATCCTCCACAGCTGGGTTTTATAGGCTGCGCACAAGCAAGCAACATGAGGTTGCCTGTCTGTGTACGGGCAAGTATGACAAAATATTCCACGTAAAGGGAGCAGAGGAGGGAGCACAGGAGGGAGGAAGGAGAGACGTTAGGAAGAAGAGAAGTTAGCACGTGCCTGTTGTGGAATTCATAGATTTCTGGGAGGTTTCCAAAAAGGACGTCCTTCTTGTTCTGAAGCGCGGATGGGATCAGATGCACTAAATTGGGATTATCCATTTCTGAAGCATACCCCTGTGGAGGAGAGTGGAAAACAAAACCAGGCTATTTTTACCAGGGAAGAAATACGCCATTTGAGACACTGCAATGCCCTCAAGCCTCTGTACTTTTTGTTCTCAAACACAGCTAGTGTATAAAGGCTTCTCCTACGCCAGCTTCTTTGTTGGTCCCATGAATTTCTGGTGATTCCAATTCTCCTCGGAGCTTTTACTCCGTTAGCTGTGCAAATAGTTTTAACCACAAGCGAGCAGACTGCGGGATCAACAAAAGATGAAACGACGTCCCTAGAAGTCAAAAACCATTCTGGCCTTTCAAAAGTCAAAAGCCATTCTGGAGGGATGGAAAGGATGCTAAGTTTGACAGACACTTAACCCTTCTGCTGCACTGCTTCATTGCAGAAGGGTTATCGGGATTTATTTGTTGAGCTGTGGTATCTGGTTTGATTATTTGGTTGTTTCTGGTAGAAACTGGGTTGTGTTTCTTTAATACAAATGGTGAGAGAAGAAGATTCCGAGTTCAGATTTTAAAGGTCACAGCAATACATCAACAGGCAGGGCTGTCAGCTCCCACAGATTGAGTCCAGTCACGAAGCAAACATAGGAGTGTAAAAAGAAACTACCCAGCCCTTCAAACCCTACCCAAATACCAGCATGACCAATCCTTCCTCAATCCTCGTCTCCCCATAGACGGAAGTCCTCAAGCTCTGCACACACACAGGGTGCTGATACCCTAAGAGCTTTGAAAACTCAAGAGGTTATACTCACAGTGACCATAAACAAGCGAGGGAAGAAGGCCTTCCCTCTTCACAACCATTTTCTGAATTCACATTTGTAAAAACTTAAGCATGTGGTCCCAAGGAAATCAATATTGCTCTTTCTGAACCCTTTTGGAAGGGCATGTTGCCAGCTATTCCTCTGCCCAAAACTTCGAGATCCATGTGAATTTATTGTTCTGCGGCCTGGGGTCAGAGAAGGAGCCTCTTCCTCTAAACTGCTGAGGCAAGTTGTTCAAAATAACCTTTTTTCTTTCCATCTCTAGGGCTGAGCTATCTTGCTAACAGAGAGCTCCTGCAACTCAGTGGTGAGTTAGATGTTAAGCAGCAGAAGTTTTCACAGAAGCATGTGTCTTACCTCTATTATGCTTTGAAGTTCTTCTACATAAACCCGTTCTGTTTCTATCAGCTCATTGATTATGTGGCTAAAAGAGATGAAAGAAGGAGTGTTACAACGTTTACAAAATACTCAAGAAAAGTACGTACGAAACAAAAACATATGGGCATTGCTGCTTAGGTCATTGATCTACGTAAGAAAACTCCTGTTGCACCTTCACATTTCTTCCTATTTCAACATTACAGAGTGTAGAACAGCCTAAAAATCCCTCTGAAGACTATCTTTTAAACTTCGCTTTGATTGCTTTTATCATTTTATACCTAGAATTTTGAAGAAAAATTCCCCCCGCCCCAAACACACACACACCAAAAGGGTTTCCTCTTCCAACAGTAATTAGCATTAGTCAATAAAAGCATTTTATTTCCCAAGGTTATGGTTCATTTTGGTTAGGTATTCTTACTATTCTTACAAAAAAAAAGTAGATTTTCTGATTAGACTTTAATATATTGTGGAATCAGGCAACAGGATGGTGTCTGGTGTTATTTTCACCAGAAAATATGAAAATAAATTAGAAGAAAATATATATGAAAATAATATATTCTTCAGTACTCTGAAAAAACTATTATTTTTACTAATTACTCTTCTGAACCAATGTTTTCATGGTTGCTCTTCCAGAGGTTTGGGAAATTTTACCAGATAGAAAAGGAAAAATGTCTAGTATTCCCTTTCTGGTCCATCCTTGAGGAGCGTCTGTAACCACACAACTACATCAAGAGCAGCCATGCCACCAGAAGGACCCTTGCAAGCAACGTTTAGAGCAACTGCTGCATGAGCAGTCAGAAGCAACACACAAGCTGTGGTAAAGAGCAGGCAACTGTAAGCAACCACTGCATGCATTCATCTGACGTCTCTGCCACATACCCAAGTAAAGATGAAACCACACTCACATCCTTGATGGCAAGCACCAAGCTTACACCTGGGTAGTCCTCTAATGCTGGCCTACAATTTTTTTACTTACACCTTCTAGTGCTTTTTAGCATCTAAAGTCCATCTTGGACTTGGTGTTCCTTGGAGGAACCTCAACCTCAGGAGCTACCTACCACCTTACATATACCATTGACACCTAGGCCTTCTTCAGAGTAGGTGCTCCCCCAGCGTGTTATTGGCAGAAGACATCATGATGAGCCTGGGAGGTGACCTATGGCACAAGCGCTGCAGGAACTATAATTCTGGTCCAAAGTGCAGGCTTTGGGTGTTTTAGGAAAAGCTTTCCAAGACAATAGATATGATGGGCAGCAGAGAAGCTGCTTTCTAATGCCAGAAGCATATGGAGCATCTCAAATCCATTTTCTAAAGCAAAAAGATGAAGACCACAAAGTCATTTTTACCACTCCTGCTGGGAACTTTGATCTGCTTCTGTCTGGTTGCCTGTTTTTCATAGGGCACATAAAAGTCTTGTAACCAGCTGGGCCCCATTACTGCTCTACGGGCTACTCCTTGAGAAATGTGAGAAATATCAAGAAAATGAGGCCTTACCTTCAACTGGCCCTTAATGTCTCAAGTTTTATCATAAAATAACTAGTATTTCATAGGTATCATACCATAGTGCCTTAAGTAAAGACATCTTTAGAGAATCCCAGCCCACCATAGGAGCACTGGCTTCATTCAGTTAACTCCACATAAGTTTTCAATTGAGGGAACTGTGAATGAGAAAGCTGTGTAGCAACAGCAGAAACACATCCACCTTCATTACTAACCAGAACTACTGCACCTGGTGACACCAGTACACCTGGTGACACCAGTGCAGAGGGATTCTGCAGCACCATCTATGACTGATCCCACAAAGTCTTGCAGCATTTGACTATAAACACTACAAAAGCCCTGCCCACATTTCCCTGCATTTGCACACACCTTTCAACTGGAAAATAGCATATGGTTTGGGGCGTGCTCAGAGTATTAGATTTTGCCCTGTGAGATATCTAGACTCTAATGCACATTCATGAGAATTGCCCAATAGATACACGAAGGGGCCCCAGAAAAAATGATTTTATAAACATGAGCTCTTACAGCTGACAAAAAAACAGATTTTTTTCTGCTTAAAGCTCTGTTTTCTTTTAACAATTTTTGCCCTTAGTGCACAATCTAGCTGCAAGAGGGACAAGCAGATTGTAACTTAACCATTTACAACCCTGAGAAGAAGTCACACAGACAACGTACAGTGCCTGGAGTCAACGGTTTTCACCTCGTAAATAAAAGGAGGGCTACCCAACTGAACTAACAAACCTTATCAAATACAGGATAACAGTGATTATCAAGGTCAATGATAAACTCCAGGGGCAGCTTAGACAACTTTGACAGTGATTACCACTTGCTTTAGATGATGTAGCTCACATTACATCCATCACTCTATCAGTTTCAGCACAGAAAATTAATCACTCCGTTTTCTAAGTAATCAAAAATAACTCATAAAATGCCAGGGACACATGGAGGTATAATTTCCTATGCAAATACCATATTTGCACGAGCACAACAGTATGGCCATAGATGCTGGGCGTACATTGCAGCTGTACACACAGCTATAGGTTATTCAATGACAGGTAGAAACATTTTAATTTTTAGCAGGCTTCAGAGCCAAAGGATGATTCAATTTTTGATTCCCTTGGTATAACCAGAACTGTACTTACACACTTAACTCAACTGGAGAAAAGATCCAGCATTGAGTTTTAAGCAGCTGCTCTGTCACTTAAAAGTTTTGAAATAGCATCTTTAATATCAACTCTAACCTAAATATAAGAAAACCTCTATTTCTGTTTACTCTTTCTCTTTTCCAGATCCCAAAGACCTCAAGTAGGACAGTGGGTCTTGCCAGGTTAAAGTAAATAGAGTAAATAGAGTAAATAGAGGCAGCTCTCCTCTGCAATGGGATGAGGTTGGTGTAACACTCACAAAGTCCATATCTGCAGGACCACTACATGGTTTAAAAACACCTCACTGAGCAGGTACGACCAAACCATCACAAGAGAGACTAAACGGTTTTATATATTGGTGCAATAAATGCTCATTTACCTGCAGAAAAGCCACAGATCCTCCATATGCTATTTACTGTGCTACAGCGCAGATTGCACCATGACCGCCTGTGAACCCAACGCAACAGCTGGCTCACAATCAGACCTGCAAAGCAAATTCTTATTCCAGAGGTTTCCTGGTAACCTTGTCATAGATAAACAGTAGTGTGGTACCTTTCAAAAACACAACTCTAAATTATCCAGTAAGGCGAAAAGCAGCCTTTCAAATATTTTGATATCCACATTTCTAAGAAAGATGAAGCAAGAATGCATTATTTTAAAGCTTAAATCTTGTTTGACCCCAAGTCCAACACACAGTACCAGCTCTTGAATCCTCATGGTAAGAACTCCAATTTCATTACCACTTTACTAATTCTATTTTTTTTGGAAAAAAAATGTTCATTCACAACATTAAAACCTAGTTTCATATATACAGAATGTTTTGTTAGAGGATGATCTATGGGAACTCCCAAGATATTCTTATTTTAGGTATTGGGTTCTTACAGACCTCAATAGAAGTCTTTAACAAGATTTGGTATTATTTAATTTAGTCCCATATGCAGATGGATATTAACAGTAAACGCTTTAGCTTTTCTTAAGTGTTACAAAAAGAACCCTTCCACACCTTACACACCTTATAAAGGTGTTGGTTAAACAGGTTAGGATCTTGGTTTCAGTAACACTGAAGCAGGGACAGAATCATGACGAGAATATTTATCAGCTCCTGGTTACAGAACTTTAATCCTTTTTATTTTCTCCCTAGAATTATACTTTTTTTTTTTTTAACCACAAATTGTGTCCACAAGGACTAACATAAATTTGATCATTTTTCCAGGATGCTTAATGCTCTTGCTGTTCCCCAGGATCACTGCCCAAGAGACCATGGGCACAAACTCTAGTCCCAAGGCTGCCACTGATTCGCAGCGCAGCCCAAGGGTACTGCAATATCTAATCCATCTGTGTGTACCCATGCCACAGTCTCCAGATGCTATTTTACCCGATTATGACACTGTTCTTCTGAAGCTCTTACTTTCTGTTTCTACCTCCAGCATCACAGTCCAGTATTGCCAGAAATACAAATCTATGCAGCAAGTCAAGGGTCTTGCAGAGAACTGGGAACTGCCCTGGTTAAGATGCAATCAAAGAACAGGGAATTAAACAGCTAAGGCAATTCCTCCAGCTCCCTTTTTCTGCTTGTGTGGCCTTAGCAAACATGGCTACATTAGAATGCACTTCTGGTGACCAGGTGTATCCTCCGTCCTCTTTACATTGCCCAACATTTAAACAAAGCTAATGCTAAGAATGCAAACATGCATTATTTTTAGATGGAAAGGACACTGAGCCATAGATAAGAAATCAGGACAAATGCAGCCAATCTATTGTCTTTCTAGCAGCTAAGAAGAATGGGCAAGTGCCAGTACTTATCCCCATGTTTCTGTCAAGAACATTGGAAAGGAAGCCAAAGGGGTGGCACTTAAGTTATAAAAAGGCATAGCAGGAAAATAAAGAAAATAAATTAAAGAAAGGCAGATCACTGATATGGGCCTTTACTGTTTGCAAGGCTTTAAGTGTAGCTTTCTCTGAAATCACTGAAGAGCAAAAAGCAAAAGGTTTATTCATTCATTCATTCATTCACTCTTTTTTTTTTTTTTTTTTTTTCCTTCCCCAAAAAGGGTTTGGAGATGACTTAGAAAACAAGGCAGCTGCAGCCTTGGCTCTGCACTCAACATGGTCACTGCAGGTAAGACCCAAATACTCTCCTCAGTGACTCAAAGCAGAGAAAAGACAGGTACAATCAGTATGTGTAGGGATAAGAGGAATAGATCTCCCTACCCCACTCTTCCCTCTTTTCAGAGGCATTCCACAAGAACGTGAGGTTTGGATGGCATCCAAGGAAGTTGGACAACAGAGCACCGAATTGGCTGAAGTTCACAGGCAGGACAGCTTCTTGTCAGGATCATTCCCAAGTAAAACGGTCACCTCCGCAGTGATAGTAAAGGATTAGGCATCCGTCCTGAAGCTT